CCAGGGGGAGATGACATGATCTCTAAATGAAAGATCTTGCCTAAAGGGTGGTCTAATTCCTTAACCTTCCCATGCTTGGTGGTTCTATGAGGAGTTGAATTCACCTTTAAGAAGATGATTATTGCAAACAACCGCAAAAACATTGATGTGAAAGTGAGTTTGCCCAGACTCAGACTTAAAAACACTTTTTCTTTCAGGACTGAAGGCACTGTTTACTGATACTTTCTGGTTCTTTTGATTCAGAACCCTGCCTGAACAACTCAAAGAAATTGTAACACCTTTTTTTGTGTGCTAAGGCAATTAGCTTTAATCCTTTAACTCCCATGAGTGACCAAGACAGAATTTCTCCTTACAATATCAATACAATATCTACCAGATAAGTCATAAGAATAAAGAAAAATATCAATTTGGGGATAATAAGTTGATCCAATACTAAATTCTCTGAACTAACATCATAAGAATTGTATGGTTGACAGTAAGAAGAATTACAAATTTGATCTGGAAGTTAAAGGGTTAAGAGCTCTTGAGTCACCCAAGTTTAATTTGATCCAGTCAGTAAATGATAGTAAAATACCATTGACAACTATTTCACCTTGGAATTTGCAAGCACCAAGAAAGACATCAGTAACATAGTGGCTCTGTGATGATTCTTTTAAATGGTAACTCTCGAAAAAAAGGTTAGAAAACTTAAAAAGTCGATGAACATGTGTGTCCTTTATTTTACAATGTACATGAATCATAGCCTGGAAATTAAAATTTTTCTAAGCAAAATGTTGGAATTTTGATTGACTCAGAGTATATTATGAGATAATCCCAAACAGTGTAGTTTTGCATGCAAAACAGTAAGCCACCAAATATTGTCAGGTTAAAATACAAGCCACATAAACCTAATGGCACATTAAAAATCAAGCTTAGTCTGATTCCTGTGGCACTGAGTGACAAAAAACTGAACATCTTAACTTAGGGCCTTGTAGATGCACACCAATAGGCTATGCTGTTTCCTCTCAAATGTCCATAACAATACAACTGACATAAGATGGCTCAAGACTTAATGCATGTAACAACTTTTGGAGGGTTAAGATTTGAAGGATTTAATGAAATAAAGTAAGATCACAAGACAAACTGCAAAAAACTAGTGTCTTGGGGAGCCCTGAGCCCTTCATAAGAGTGACCTCTTATACAAACTCTTTACAGTGGCCAATTTAGGTTATAAACTCAGTTGATAACACTAAATTACCCTGTTATACCTCCTATTGATGCAGCACCACAGTTTCTTTAGAAACTTACCCCCTTTAATATGGGTCTAGTCAACATACCTTGGAAGGTGAGTTCATATAGAAAGTGAAAGCATTCTTTTGCTCATGCTGTCTGGTATTCATGCCTTCAAGGCTCCAAGCCAAACTTTGTCCATTGTCATTATTTGGCAACTGAAAGTCACAGTATGGTAACCAGAAGTAAAATTTTAGTCGCCAGAAAGAATTGGGAAAACTGAATATTACAACATTTTGAGCAACATCACATATTTCATACTTTGTCGCTTTGCGTCACTTCAACTTTTGACCATAAATGGTGAGTCATAAAAACATAATAACATTCTCCATTATTTAAACTTTTAAGCTGCAAAGTTAGTCATTATAATGATTTTTCTTCTGCTATATGGTAGCTAAAACAGTCACAACTTAGTAAACTCCCTTTAACCCTTTGACTCCCAGAAGTGATTAACACATAACTTCTCCCAGTCATATTTACACATTATACAGCAAATAGGTAATGAGAATACTCAAATTTCTCGGGCAGGAGTTACTATTTTAATCCAACACCAAATTCTTGTAACTAATTTACAAGGAAATGTATAGTAGCTAAAATAGGAGAATTGACAAGGAGATCTTGGGACTTAAATGGTTAAGATGGATGTCAAAATGACCCTTACCTTAGAGGTTATTTTATCTGTGCTCAAATGAAATAACAAATGGAACACATTTTTTGTCCTCAGGCAGATTAAATGATAACAAAGAACTGGTCTAAAATTCTGAAATAAAAAATTATTCAAATTATAATCATAATCTTTTCATCATAATTTACACTCTTTTAATCTGTTGTAAAGACATTGACCCCAAGGAATTCTGACAAAATTCTTCATGGGTATTTCAAAAAATGTCTCACCGTCAGACATTGATGAAATCAAAACAAGTAATGATATCCTATGTATGGTGTGGTGGTATTAATTGTGCTGAACAGGTGTTTTCCAGCAATGATAGAAATTAACCAGCCAAAGCAGCCCCCATTCCTTCACTTCTCTCCCCTCACCATGGGTGTGGGGGAAAATCTCCTTATGGATTCTCTACAGATAGCTAAGTCTGCCCACATCCCTTTCCTCTATAGGATGACTGATGAAAGGTGCAAAAAAAAAACAGTCCATTTGACAGTCCTGTGTTAATTTCTGAGCTTTAAACCCCATCTCCCAGAAGTGATCAACATGTAGCTTCTCCCTATAATATCCATACATTATCCAGCAAACAGGTTATGAGAGCAATGGACCTTATCAAGTAAAGGTTGTTGTCTTGTTATTACATCAAATTCTCATCACTCATTTACAATGTAATGGTGGAGAAAACCAATTAACAGATCTATGAGATTAAAGGGTCAAACTGGAGTGAGACTGGGGAAGACCTTTTGGAATAGAGGTGAGACATAAGTTAGAAAGATTGAAGAGTACATGTAATAGGCCAATTTCAATAAATTAACCCTTTAACTTGTAGAAGTGATTAACATGTAACTTCTCCCTATAAAATCCATACAATATCCAGTAAACAGGTAATGAGAATACTCAAAATTATCAGGTTTAAGTTGTTATCTTGATCTAACACCAAATTCTCATAACTTATTAACAAGAAATTGTTTAGTAGCTAGAAGGGAGAATCAAAAATCAGACCTTGGGAGTTAAAGGGTTAAAATTCTAGCATGACTCTGAGGCTAGGGGGAACAAAACAAAAGAAACTATTTATTCACCCCTCAACCTCGATTTGATTTCCTCTGCTTTATTCTCCCAAACCTCGGAGCCAAGTTTGAATTTCAATATATACAAAATGGCCTCTTGGATAAAAGTAAGGTTTGTATGAGGTCACTGACTGTCAGCCTCACTGCCAACAAAGCACTCAGCTGTTGAGAAACGAAGAAAAATTAGAATGTAGAGGAATTCACCTCTAGTTGGTTCGTACCTGCACAAGATAGAATTCTTGAGCATTAGTCACCATCGCCATTCAAGCTATAGCACGGTTTTCCTGTACAAGCACAATAAGACTTCAAGGTTCCTTATGTCAACTGTATTTGGATTGGTTGAAATTTCAAACTTCTGCTGAAATACTCCAGGTGCTGTGACAATCTTTTAAACTTCTTTTTCGAGAAAATGTGACATTTTCTGTCCATTTTGAGGAAAACCCGCGGTGTCACGCTCAAAATAAACAATTTCCGGTGAGTTTTGTAAATAAAAGGCGTGGCTACTAAGCTTACACGTGCCGACAAAATTCGTTACGTGACATAAGGTCATCTATAGAACGTTACGCACCGAAAAAAGCTAGGAAGTATAGCTTATATGACAATGTGTACTTTTCAAGTGTCTTGTGATCATTGTCACAACTGACGGCTCATCCATCTCTTAGGACGATCATGTTTCCGGGAGTTTTCCATTCGACCAGAGATGTTGAATTCTATAGCATTCTCAAAGCGGAGTGGAAGGTTTTTTTAAAACACCATTCGGAACTCAATCCCAAGGACTAAAGACTATGAAAATCGGGAGAGTCCCAACTAATGTAGATGAAGACTACTAGAAAATTTAACACATAGGGCTGAGATAAACCTTATCGGTTTCATTTCTTTTTCTGAGTGAAAGAAATTTTTATTTTCGTGTTGGTACCAGATCACGCGGCCGGACGTTGAACGGACGATCAATAACGGCCCTCACTTCTTCAAGAAAATCATAGTAGCTATGAAAGATTTTCATGTTGGTCTTTCAAAGTGAAACAGGCACCTTGCAACTAACTGAATAAGCAAGATTTTTAAGGGTTATAACTATTTTTCCCCTTCACTGACGCCACGAAATATGGAAATCTTTTAGTGCTAGCTTTGGAGCTAGTTTTTCTTATTGCAATTGGAAGCAGTAGGGAGATGGTCCCTTCGTGATGGGGAATCTCGGTGCCTTTTACTCAGCGTTAGAAACTCTAGATTTTTCCCGATAGGGTAACAATTCCATAGAAAAAACATTCCTTTTATTGTAAAATGTTCTTTATTTTTAATCACTTCAAGGTGATTTAACAAAATGTTAATGAAAACTTACTTAGAAAAGGGAAACTTCAGACGTGTTTTTCTCATAAATGACAGATACATTTTTAGAGAATGAATCTTAGCTGGGAACAGGGATTTTTTTTCTCACGTCGGGATGTGAAAAATGGGAAACGTGTCTGGGAGTTTAAGTCTGTTGTCAACTCTTGGCATAGAAGAACAAGAAGCTTGCCTAACGAGACTGAATCACGAAATTAAATTGAATAACTTTTAGGGGGGATTTCGATTGACTTTTGAAGAAACGAAGCCGAAGAAATCGCATCAGCCAATTGGAACAAAACAAAATATCACAGGGAGTTCATAAGAACTCAGAGTTAAATAATGAAATCACCTAAGGGACAGGAAAATGCAAGTGACTAAGGCTCCCGATTGGTTCCAGTTTTGCACGTGATTTCATAAAAGCGTGCTTATGGTTTTCCTTAACCAATTGCAGAGTGATGAGAACTAAAACCTGCAATACAATCCAAACCTACCTTATCGCATTCAAAAAACTGCTACGCACTTTGTCTCTGTCTAATAGTGACCTTAAAGATTTTTCCGTTACTAGAGAACGTCTTTGCCAGTTCCTTTGGTGCAAATATTCATCGGAAAGTTTGAAAAAAATTTTAAAAAACCTTGAAATGACCCAGAATCTCAAGGTTGGTTACGGCCGGATAACTAACTTAAAAGTGAATTGAACTGCTAAAGCTATCTAGGGGATAAATGTTACTTAAGCTTATGCTGCGGTCTCCAGTCAAATTTCTCCCTGAAATGCTTTGTTCGGTCACCGATATGCTGCGCATGCTTAGAATTGGTGAGGCGCTGACTAGGCCTCGAAGATCTTCAACCGTCAGGGGCTCGTGTTGAGAACTGAAGATTTCTTTCATTCGTCTGTCGGACTTCTCATACGCTTCTTTAGCCACGAACAACTCTTTCTCCAGTTTCTCTACCTCTTTCTGCCAGGACAATATTTGCGAGCGAAGTTCACTCAAGTTTGCGTCTTTCTTCTCCATAATCTTCTGATGATAGTCATTTTCTGCTTTCAACTTTCTTGTCTCCTTTTCTAGTTCGTAGATGCACTCCTGGAATCTTTCTGACTGCAAACTCCTGTCCAATTCTTCCGACCGATTATTGTTTATCTCAGGTGTCATGGAAACCTGGTGCTCCAGTCGACACTTCTCTGTGGTGAGGGTGTGGTTAGCTTGTTCGAGGTTGAATACCTTCCTCTTAGAGTCTTCAAGGTTAGCATGGAGCTGCACTTTTTCCGAGTGAAGCGAATCGAGTTTTTCTTTGTAAGATGAAAGCAGCAGATTTAAGGAGGCTACCTCGCCAGAGAGTCTACCTTTCTCGTCCTTAAGTTTTTGCATACCTATATTCTGATCAGTGACACCAAATCTATCGGTGGAAGAGCCAACGTATCGAATAACCTGCTTCTCAGTTTGTGACGATTCTTGTAACTGATCGAACCGCTTTTGTAACTCAGTAAGCTGGAAATAAAGATCGTCTTTCTCTCGTTTTATTCCATGGTAACTTGTTTCCCAGCGAGACATTTGAAGCTGGAGGTCGTGGAATTCAGTTGCAAGTTTTTGTTTTTCTTTGTACGCTCGATGGTAGTTATCCATGTATTGTGATAATTCTTTCTTGAGTAAGTCGTTTTCATTTTGAAGACTGCAAGCAAGCACCCTTTCTCTAGATAGTGCATCAGAATTTCTTCCGTCGTTTCCGTTACTGACAAGTTCAGCAGTTAAAGTGTCATTTCTCTTTTTGGCCTCATCTATCAATCTCTTCAGTTCATTCTCTTTCCGAAGCTGTACTTGAAGCTCATTGTCTAAAGATTCCAATTTTGAGGTGCCTACAGAGGTTGCTTGTACAGATAGCCTCCTTATTTTCTTCTCGTATGCGTCTCGCTCATTTTGTAACCGTGCGATTGTATTTTTGGCAGCAACAAGATCATGTTCAAGTGCATTCAATTTTAGTTCTATATCATTTGTAGTTTCATGCTTAATCTTTAATACCCGTCCTTCGCAAATGGGTTGTGGTTTCTCCTATGGTTCCATCCTTCATTGTCCCACTTGAAAAAGAAATGTGCGAACTGTTCTTGGTTTCTTGTTCGACAATGCTAAGCTTAGCTTTTGACATCGACAACTCCTCTTGTAATTGTTGTGTTTGTCTCTGAAGTGATTCATAACGGGACTTGATTTCAAAGTTAGTCCTCTTTAACATAAGCGATTCTTTTCTGCAGTCTTGAAGTTCTTCTTCTTTAGTAGAGCTCTGCGCTTCCAAGTACGACATCTTCTCACGCAACGATATAATTTCTTCTTGAAGGCATTCCGTCTTATGCCTTGACTCGTTGTAATCGTGCCTTTGCTTTGTTTCAAGATCCTGAACGTCAGATATTTCGAAACGGAGCTTGCTGTTTTCTTGAATAAGCCGCTTCACGTTTTCTTCTGAACTTAAAATGCAGTTATCTTTCTCATCGAGCTTGAGTCTCAGTTTTGCTAACTCTTGATTCATAGTGTGATAATCATTACTTCCATTAGCGATCCTTAGCTTGAACGATCGTAATTCCTCTTCCAGGAGCCTTACTTTCGTGCCTTGCTGTCTGTAGAAGCTATCTTTATTCGCCAGCTCCTTTTTGTAATTTTCAACCAAACCTCTAAGGCTGGAAAGCTCCCTCTGCGTTTCATAGAATTCCTCTTTGTTATAAGCAACCTTTTTGTTAGCCTCATCCAGCTGAGTCTTGATCGTCAATTGCTCAAGAAGTGCCTTCTGGAATCCTTCATCAGACGTTGTCATTTTTCTTTGGTAACCAGTGACGCTAGTTTGGAGTTCTAGAATCTCCTGTTGTGATGCTTCCAGTTTTCCTTGCAGCTCTGTGACAACTCTCTTTAGGTTAAACACTTCTTTGCAGGATTCATCTTTTTCCCTAATTGCTGATGTCAATAAACCCTGTGTGCTATTTAATTCCTGCTGGAGCACGAAAACATCCTTTTGAAGCTTTTGGTTGTCATTTGCCGAGCTGTATCCATTTTCTTCCCTTGTCACGCCTCTGTGTTCAAGAAGCAATCGGGCCTCTTGCAAACCGCACTGAGCTGTTAACAGCTCATTGTCTCTGTTTTTGAGCTTTTCTATGTACTCTTGAACTCTAAGCTCTAACTGCCTTCGCATATTATCAGCTGAATTCACCTCCATTTCCAATTTTAAGACCTTGTTTTTAGCCTCTTGCATTTCGCCATGAACAGTTTCCAACTGGACAACAGAATGACGATGATCATCCTTTAACGGAGTGAATTCTTTTTGCAGTGCGATGAGGTCTTGTTCTATCTCGTTTTTTCTCGCTACGACCACGCTGTATTTCGATTCCCATTTTGAAACTTTGTCACGAGCTGCGTACAAACTTTCTTGCAGTTCCCCTTCTTTTGCAACATATTCTCGGCTGCTGGCTTCCAAATCGACAATTTTTCTTTTTTGCATCTTAATCTCTCTTTCAAGATTTGAAACTTTTTCTTGTAAAACAGAACTTGCACTTTCATCAGCCTCACGTCGTGATAAAGACTTATTCCGAGCCTCAAGACTTCTGCATTGTTCAGCCAGCCCACCATTCTCCGTTTCGACCCTGTATAGTTTCTTCCTCAGAGCATCAGTTTCGATTTCCAGTTTAGCATACCTTCCGTGAAGCTCTCTTGTATCTGCATCTTTCTCGATGGCCTCGGTCTTGAGTCGATCTATGTTGGCCTCTAGATCCGCAATGTGCTCCTCTGCTGTCACTTTACTTTCTTGATGTATCAATGAATTGTTCTTCCATTCTTCCACCTTTCCACAAAGTGATTCAGTCTCTCTATTTTGTTCCATTACTTGATGTTCCAGTGACGCTATCTTCGACAAAGCAGACTGATGCTCGAGTTTTACTCGATCTCTTTCATGGGCTTGCTTTTGGATTCGTGTTTCGTATTCTGTGTTGGACGCTTCAAGGGTCAAAATTTCCTGTTGTAAGCGGTCCTTCTCAACCTTCATTCTTTCGCATTCTTCTCGAGATGCAGCTAAAGTTTGTTTTAAACTCTGGATGCTTTCCTCTAAGTAGAGTTTGCTAGCTTTCAGTTGGTCGATCATGAGAACCTTCTCGTCCATCTCTTTCTTTATGGTGTCTGCTCCGATTCTTTGCTCTATAAGTTGTTTATCGTTTTCTAAAAACTCTTCTCGGCTCGCTGATACTCTTTGAAGTGCATTTTCAAGTTGGCGTTTGACTGAGTCCTTCTCACGGATCTCATATTCATATTTCACTTCCAGATCGGACAATTTCCCATGCTGCCCAATCAGCTCTTCTTTCAAAGCTCTCTTCTCTTGTTCGAATTTCTCGATTTTCAGCTCATACTCTTGTGCTCTTCTCTGAAGGAGGCTGATCTCGCGGTTGTGTTCCATATTTTCCTGTTGAGTATTTCTATTCTCAGACTCGAGTCTTTTAATCTTAATCTTGTAGTCATCAATTTTCTTTCGCAGTGAACTTTCTCTATCTTGACTTTGCCGATATAACGCTTCAGTTTCCCATAACTTCTCATCAGAAGACTTCTCAAGTTCTCCATTTTCACTCAAGAAACTACTTAACTCCAGTTTAGAGATGCTAGTGTTAGCCTCATCTAAGCTATCCTCGAGACTTTTCGCTCTGGACTGACTTCTTTCATAATTAGCTTTCATGATTTCCAAGTCCTGTTGCAATGCTGATACGGCCGTTTCCATAATGATTTTGTCATTCATAGCCTTTTCTAAAGCAGTCTCCTTTTCCTTTAACTCTAAGAGTAAAGTTTCACACGATCTCTCCTTATCTTGGATCTGGCTGTGACAAACCTTTATATCCGTCTTTAGCCTTGCAAGTCCGCTTTGGGACTCCTCCCATCGGGTTTTGTAGTCATTTTTATCAAGTTCAAGGTTCGATATCCGGGCTTCTAGACTCGAAGTCCTTAATTTAGAACTACTTATTTCTTGCTCTAACCTCATGACTGAGTCTCTAAGCGCAAACACTTCTGTCTCACGTTGTTGAAGTTTCTCTCGCAAAGATGTTAACCTGCCTTCGTACTCGCTTTTCTCTGCTCTCAGCCCCTCATTTGTCACTTTTATGGTAATAAGTTCATTTTTTGCCTTCTCTAATTCCGCTTCTGTAGATCTGATTTTCACTTGAAGTTCGTCTGCGAGCTGCTCTTTCCTGACAATCTCTTTGTTAACGGTTTCCTTAATCTTCTTTTCTTCGATAACCTGGCTCTCCAGTCGCATAATTTGATCTTTATCACAAACAAGCTTAGCGCTGTTTGCATCAAGTTGTTCCTTGAGCTGTGCTCTCTGATCTTGAATAGTTTCGATTTGTGATTCATATTTTGCGATCCTCGTTCTCATAAGATGAAGTTCTTCTTCTGATCTCTCTTTAATTTGTCGACACATCAAAACTTCTTGTTCAAGCTCAGAGTTCCGTTTCTCCAAAAGGCTTAGTTTTTGCTCCCGTTCTTCTTTATTTGCCACCGTCTCCTCCAGCTCTTGCTTCAAAACAGACATTTTGTTTTCTGCTTCTTCTAATTCGTCGAGGACGCCTTGAATGTCGTTCTTCGTAATCTCAGACAGAGATTCCAGTGAGCTGACTTTGCTTTTATATGTTGCTAATTGTTTGGCAAGCTCACTTGCCCGCGATCGCTCGTGATCCAGTTCTCTAGCCTTGTCAGCGGCTGCAGACCTCTTCAAAGACAATTCCATGTTCGCAATCTGGTTCTGTGCTGTATTGAGTTCTGCCTCTAGCTGCTCTTTACGTTTTAACGTTGCTTCATAAAGGGCCTGTGCTCTTGAGTACTCCTCCTGTTTACTCACAAGGTCATTGTGTAACATTTTCTTCTCCTTTTCACTCATTTCCCGCATGTTCTTCACATTTTTCAGCTCTTTATGGCAAGCGTCGGAGTCGACGTTAAGCACATTTAATTCCTCTTGAAGCTGTTTGGACAGTGCGTCTTTTTCTGCTATATCCTTGCGGAGGTCATTGTTGACAGACTGCTGCTCGAGCAGCTGACTCTTAAGTAAATTTATCTCTTGAGTAACGGCATTGTGGGTGGCAGTGCATTCCTGGATTCGTATTTCGCTCGCAGAGCGCTGCTTGACAGATTCGTCGATCTCAGCCTCCAGCCTACTAACCCTCTGCTGTAAAGCCATGGTTTGGTGTTGGAAATCGAACTTTTCATGCTCACATGTGTTGAAAGAGGCTTGTAGCTCGGATAATCTTTTGTAAAACGACTGAACCTCAAGGTTTAATTTTTCGTTCTCTTCGGACGTCTGTCGGTTTTCGGCAGCCGCATCTCGGACTCTTTTCTGCGCGTCTAAAGTCTCCTCTCGCAGTTCTCTTTTCTCTTCCTCCGTAATCTCAATCTGTGCTTGGAGTTTGGTAACCTCACTGAGTAGAGATTCTGTCTTCAGCTCGTGCGCCATCACGGAGGCTCTCAAATTCTCGATAGTTTTATCTTTGTTGCCGGACTCCTTTAGCTTTAGATCTGCGTTTCTCTGAAACTCATCATAACGACTTTTTATTCTTGCAAGCTCTGCTTTTAATTTTGTGACCTTGGACCTCTCTTCTTCCAGCTCGGCTTTTAGGTTTGCCTTCTGTTTAGACTGACTTTCTCTTTGCCCTTCACACTTAAACATCTGACTTTTCATTGCTGCCATCTTCTCTTCTAACTCGTTGCAAACATCTTCAGTTTTCTGTAATAGAGACTTTGTCTCAGTAATTCGTCGTTCAGATAAAGTGAGCTCTTCCCGTAGTCCATCTTTCTCGCTAACTACTGCTTCGTAGCTGGACTCCAGCTGGCTAATTTTAATTGAAGATTCTTCAAGTTTAATACTAAGCCTTTCGTTATCATCTTGGGCCTGAGCATAACTAGGTCCCAACTGTGATACTTTTCTTCCTTGAGCAAATATTTCTGATTCTAGTTCCGAAACAGTATCGCGCAGTTTCGAATTCTCCATTTCAAGTTCTGTCATTCTCTCGAGAATCTTCCTATTAGTCTCTTCCGTAGTTGTAAGCTTACTTGACACAGCAAATAGCTGTCTCTGGAGATCATCTTTTTCAGTTTTTACTGATTGTAAACCAGTATCCAACTCGGTAACTTTTGACTGCGACAAGTTCAACTCTGTTTCAACACCTTTTTTTTGCGTGGCATGCAATTCCAAAGACATTCTCTGTTTCTTCATCTCCTCCTTTAAATCTTCCATCCTAGACACGAGATCTTTGTTGGCGACTTCAAGTTTTTCTACTTGGCGTTGTTTAGCTGAAAATTGTTCCTTAGCGTTGTCAGCTTGTTGTTGTATCTCGAGGAGTTTCTTCTGCAGTAGAGAGTGTGTATCTTTGTTTTGGCGTAGTTCATCGCGCGAATCACTTAGCTGTGCCTTGAAATTTTCTCTCTGTTTGGTTGCGCTTTGTAACTGCATCTCCAGTTTTGATACCTGAGTTAGGAATAAAAGGTTACGTCACTGCGAAAGCATACAGTATGCCCAGACTTATTGGACTGGAACTGCAAAAATGAACCGTACTATTTGAGGAGTTTCATAGTGCACTTTGCTAGTTTTTTGGAAAAATTATTCAAGTGATTCCACTGAAATATTCCGTAAGCATATATTTTGATCATTTTCTTAAAAACAATTTCATAAAATATCCTCAAATTGACATCCGAAATTACATCTGAGGTTCCCCGTAGTTCCTACTCTGCTAAGACAGGACATTCGTTTTTCTCTTTAATGTTGCAATTGGAATTAACGCAGAACGCAAGACAAAATACATTTTACTCGCCTTAATTTTGTAATTTTTACTGCAACTCATCAGTTCCCTCTGTGACCTCTCGTATTCTGCCTGAATATTGGCGAGTTTGTCTTGTATCTCCACTAAATCATTCTGAAAGTTTTCCTTCTCTTGCAGTAAACAGTTGTAACTCTCCTCCCAGTGGGCAGCTTCTTGTTTCGCAGCAAGGAGTTGTTCATTATCCTCCAGTGTGGATCTTTGGATAACTGCCGTTGACATGGACGCCATCTCTTGCTGCAGACTCGCAAACTCTTTCTCCAACTCCTCCTTTTCCTTTTGTAAGACATTAGCGGTGTTCTTACACGAGGTCACCTCGTGCGCGAGATTCTCCTTCTCCCAGTCTCTCTCCGCAAGAGTGTGCTTAATCGTTACCAGTTCTTCTTGATATTTTTTGCATTCTGCTCGTGTCTGATTTAGTTGTTCATCTGAGGCACCCTTTGCCCTATCCATTTAAGCAAAATTAATTAAATTATTTGGGCAAAACAGACAAGGAAACATTAATCTATCTTTTCTGGGAATGTTCGGTAACGAAAACCTTTTGGGGAAGGGTTCATTGTTTTTTCGTTTCATTTCATTTGATAACAGCCTCACACGTTTTGGATATCGATGAATGTTTAGGTTTTAGAGGAAAGAAAAGATGATATTTTTGTAAGCCATTGTTTTCTCCTCGCAAGGTATTATATTTATTGCTGTAAATTTAAGAACAAATCTCCATCTATCGGAGAATATGCGCAACAGCTGAAATATAATTTAGAAATCGAAAAACAAATATCTATCGTGACTGATTCACAGAAGAAATTTCAACAGAAGTGGGACAAAATACTTCATGCACAATAATTGCTATATAGTTCGCGGGCGGGCTCCAAATGTGACCCTGCTCACAGGCTATATTTTACTCTCCAAACGCTGATCTTAAGCCTTTGAAAATCAATTTTTGCTAAACGCCGTACTTTTGTTTGTTTTTTTTTTCAAGCTCTTACTCTTATCTATCCCACCCACAATTTAGCCTTCTTGTCTTTCGTAACTGTTAATTTTTTGTGAATAAGGTTCTCTTTTTTTGTGGGTAAATGATGTGCCTCTAAATATGTGTGCATTATCACACTGTACGTAGTGTAAGTAGAACAATGTAAGTAGCATAAATATTAATTGTATCTTAAGAATACTCTAAGTAAGTAGAGTAACGCAATGTACGTAGTGTAACGCAATGTACGTAGTGTAACACAATGTACGTAGAAAGGCCCCTAAAGGGAACCTTAATGTAGTTAATGTAAGTATCATGTTGTAAAATTAAAAAAAAATTAATTAAATGAAGATACGCATTGTATGCCTATTTTTATACGCATTGCAGGCCTATTGACTTTCCCGCCAACTCATCTTCCCTTTGGAGTATGGTTTAAAAGCCTTTTGGTCGCTATTTTGAATTGAATTTTTGACATTGTCTTAGAGGACCCTAGGATATTGGGTATTAAGATATTAGATATGGATGTTTCGACGTTAGTAGAGCACCACAGTCGGCACGTGCGTCGCATTCTAGACAGAAAATCCTGAACATTGGAAGCAGTGGTTTAGTGAATTGTTTATGAATCGATTTTGTTTAACAAAACCTAACCTAATCTAGCCTTGTTAATGGAAGCTTCTTGTAACCACGGGAAGTTTTAAAACTTTTTAAATTCGTGGAATAAAGTGTTTGTTTACTCTATCAATGGTTTGAGTTTTCGACGCCTTTGCTCAATCTGCTTGGTAAGATTGAGGGACACTCTACAACTTGCAGTGATGTGGTGTTCCTCATTTTTTGCATAGCATTTCGGCTGATATAATTCCGCATAGTGGTCTTGCGTTTATCTTTAATTCAGCGGTGTGCGTTGTTTGTGTTGTTAAGGCTACTGTCTACGACGTAATAAAATAATTTTATTTGTTGTGGTTTTTTTATTCAGTGAGACCCTCTTTCAATAATCATTGACCCTTGTCGTCCTTGTCTAAGCTTTAATTCAAATTACTTTGAGGCTAAATATCCATCATATGCTAAAGAGGAGTAGGGAAACAAGCGTTGCGAACTTGGTAAAAGAACTGAAAACGATATATCACTGCGTAAGCGTTGACTGACCAACACAACGGTAAATCGACTTTTTCCCGTGTGCAAGTATGTAATACATGGATGGCTTTGTAAAGAGAGTATTCAGTGTCTGTGTGTTAATCGGGCACGAGTATGGAAGTATTGCAATGTCGGTGTTTCGTGCGTCAAAATGCAGTGATGCAATGTTTTTAAATTTTTTTTTGCTCAATTCCTTAATCGAGTGGATTCTTGCTCTCTGGGGACAAGGTTCTTCGAACATAAACACAAGTTAGACGGTATTGCATAATTACTGAAAACTTTTGCGTGTTTACTTGTGATTTTGAGAAATTTCCTTTGAGATAAAATGTACAAAAGAAACCTAGGGGTACTTTAGCTTGCTGACGGTTGAAGGCAAGACTAAGATTTACGAGCATCTATCGACGTAACGTGAAAACAACCATATCAAAAAATTTTAAACTTTGTTATTGGCGACTGAATACGGGAAACAAAACAGCCATTACAAAGATTATACGCGCTCAAACTGAAATTGGGCACGTCCCACTGAAGAATACACGGAAAAATGAAAACTTAGAGGAACAAATTATATTTTTGGAAGAATTCTTGTTAACTTTTGCCGTGGAGACGAACACAACTTATGCGACAGACTAAAAACCATTCTTTGATAACTAAAACCGCATGCTTTTCGTGATATAGAAAGACCAAGACATGCGTATATCAGACTGATAACAAAGGAGGCCGGCGGTCAATTCTTTAAGGAAAGTGTAAATTATGCCATACGTAAATCGAAGCCTTTGTTTTACCATTTTTTCACGATTTGACATTGTCGGGACTAAATAAAATAATTTCTTTAAAAAATAAAGCCATAATCCTAGAGGGTGAGCTGGAATTTTAGCTTTTGCAGAAAAGAAACCTGGATAAAAAAAAATTCAGACTTCGATGGGATTCGGACCCATGCCCCTAGATTCTAGTTGGGCACTACCAACTGAGCTAGGATGCAGGGAAAATTCTAGGGGCTTCTTCTCAACCTTAAGTCGGTGATAAGTGACCTCTCGACTTTTTAGCGTTGGTTTTTCGGCATCCTTTGGCGGTATTTATATAGAAAGAATTTCAAGTCCTCTGGGCAGACGGTCTCAGTTTAGCCATTGAGACCATCTATCGAACTTAAAACTATATTGTAGCATAGTACTTAGTTCTAGGTTGGAAAATTTTTCTTTCTTGAGTATCAAAGTTGTTTAATGACAACTTCTTGAAATTAAACCAAAAGTTTGGATTATAAATGTCTTCCAGGACATCTTTAGAACAAAATAGCAGTCAAAATCTATCTCCGCTGAAAACATAACATATTTTCCTGCGCAATTCTGTTCTGTGGTATTTTAAATTTTATATCACTGAACAAAGCAATCAAATTAATTACATACTTAAACTTCTCACCTGTGCAGCATGCTCAGTTTTCACTATTTCCAGCTCGTGCTTGAAGGTCCTATAAGCAGCCTCCAAGTCACCAAACGTTTCCTTAGCTGAGGCCAGATGGTGTAATGTCGCATCCGCTGCATCCACAGACCTCTCGATCGAGCTCGAGAAGCTTGTCTCTTCCAAAGATTCTACGCGTGAAGAGCGAGACATCTATAAAAAAGTTGCAGTGTCTATGTGTGTCTCGTTCAGGTAGTGGCAAGCAACATAACGAACGGTTTTCTATTTACGTAACTCCACTGTTTGCTAAACAAGTTGGTTTCGTGCAGTCAAAATGTTTTAAAATCTCAGCTGATTAGTAGCGAAATATCTATATATTTAATTTTTTTGTTGTGGGACGCTAATTTGGCTTAACTGACAAAAAGCAATATTTCAATAGTCTCTCATAGCAACAGTTGTTTGTCAGTGACTTCAAAACGGCACGGTCCCAAAAGACTCGACGCGGCTGTCATTGTTCATTCACGATAGCTTGACGCTTTGCGCTTAATTTTTTCGTAATGAAGAGATTGAGTAAAGGAGACCAATTCCGTTTGGTGACGAATGTAAACAAAAACACAAACTCGTCAAACTACGCTGTGAAGAAAGTGGCTATTTGCTTTGTTGGAGCGTGGGAAATGAAAACAACATCTGAGTTCCCCACGAGGAATCAAACACCAAACCTCTGAATGGATTACGCGGTCCGATGCTCCCACTGAATTTCAAAGATCTCGTTCGTGGGCCAGTCCATACATTATCTTCATGTGAAGTGCCTGTATTAGTGAGTCACTGGTATTTCCAAGATCGATTCATAGCTGAAGAAAGAACTTGAACGGGCCTATAGTGGTTCATTTGCCTAAAGTTTACCTAGTTACGAAGTTACTTTTTCTCGTGAAATCCTGAGATTTTCAATTTGAAATAACAAAGGAAACAGCAACGTCTCTGAAGCTATCCCTTTGTTTCCGAAAGTTACTGGTTTTAAAACCTCTCCATTCTACTTCCCACTGTGATGAATGGGTTTCCTGTGCAAGTGAAAAGCGTCACAGTGTCACAGGCAGTAAATCTTTTATTTAGTATACTGTATGACGCGTCGCAGCGTGTGGTAGAATTTGCGCATTGCAGATGCGGTGCTTATTCGGAGTTGCGCGTATTCAAAATCATCAAAATCCGACAAACATTGGTTTGATGATTCGTTTGCTAAATACACCACTTTCGCCATAAACTGCAGATAGTGTTCTTTTGCTTTTTGTACTTTTGCTAAGGGAAGGACCAGACAGCATTAAAATTTGGTGGAGTTAGATTGTGTGAGCAAAGCCAAAATTGGAAAGATTTCTAAATAGTTAGAGGTATGATGCGACTCAGAGTGAACCCCCGAAAGTAATTTTGCGGTAGAAATGGCGAATTCTACATCACAAAATGTCGTAACCTACAATCCCAATCGCTCTCATCTTCTATCATAGTTGAATAGTTGGCTTGCCTCTGCTTCCCATCCCCTCTCCCCCCTCTCGACGCCTTACCCCTACCTATAAAGACCTAACTCGCCCCAGTTGTCTCTGTACCATGCAGCTGAGCAAGACGAAAGAGCGCGAGGTGCGATGGGTAGGTTCGCCGTGCTTTCCTCTTTGATCTCCCCGGCTACGAGACATAGGCGGCGATTGGAGACAAAGCCTGTTGGCAAAATGCTTTACACACATACATAGGAACTGAAAGCAAATCTAACTGTTGGCTACTTTATCTCTCACAAAGCAAAGAGAAAAGGCAAGTTTGCGGTGTTACATTTAATCATTTGTTCCATAAAAAAGGTTCCCTCCAATCGACACATCTCCTAATAGAACTTCATGCTTACTGGACCTTAATGAAGATAATCTTTGGCTCTTTGTTAAAACCATGATTATTTTCATAAAGATTTTAGTTGTATGTCCAGTACATAACCCGCGACTGCGAGTAAGGGCATCGGGGAATAAGGTTGGTCACATACGATGGAGAAGCCTCTTATCAATCGCCTGATTGTGCAGAAACTATGGAAACTTGGGTCTAGTAATTGAGCGAGTTTCTTATTATGTATACTCCCATGTCAGTGAATAACAATTACATTTTATAAACCGTGTTTTGTGCTCACTGCAAAAGCTAAGAACTACAGTTTTACTCTTATGGAAATATTTTATCTTCAAATATATTTCTTTTTTTCTCCGTAAATATGATAAAAATTCAATTTAATGCAAATTCAATGACAGGACGCGCAGGCTTTAAATACCAGAACAAAGACATTAGCCATAGCTATTGTCTTCATTCAATTCTTCTTTTATTTTTCATAAGTAATAGACAGCTCAAAATGAATTTGTATACGTGTCGTGCATGGGTCTATATTTCGAAAAAGGTTTGCCTGCATTTGCGGCAACGACGCAAAAATAAAGGGCCTTTGTGTTTCCGATCGCTTAATGCAACTGTATATCAAATAAAGACAGATGGAAACGAAGCAATTGTAAAAAAATTAGCAGGGATATACAGTATACAAAATGAAATATTACGTAACGTAAGAGTGATAAAAGGAAACACGTCCCTAGAGAACAAGAATGTGCATGTTAACTTCGGTTTAGGAGATTAAAATTCCAGTGCCTGGATGCTTGAATGGTATTTCGTCAACATTTCGGATGTTCTTTAAATGCACTTTGAAGGCGAATGAAGTAATCTCAGAAACTGATAACAAAATTCAGAAATTGGTTACTTGTCTATTTAGGAGTTGAAGAGTGAAGCGAAGGCCGAGTCTGCAAATCTACAGCGAGGGATGTCAACCGCAGTTATCCAAAAAGATACAGCGAAGGAGATTGAGCAGCTCTTTGCTGCGAAACAAGAAACCGCCTACTGGGAGGAAAGTTATAACGGTTTACTGCTGGAACACGAGGTCTTTCAGAACAATTTCATGGAGTTACAAGACAAATTAGTCGGAATGCAGGAAGAGTATGAAAACTCACAGAAGGAACTTTTGAGTTGCAGCAAAAATTATAGCATCAAGGTGAGTTACATCAGTCTGTAGTCTATATCCACCATGTTCGATTATGTCAGGCAAGATGCTGCGTGCAGGATGGTATAGTATATTATGGGTTGGTGTGCATGACGTAAGGCGCACAGTACAATTCGCGGTAGCCTACATGAGGTAAAATGTATTGCGAGGCAAAGAGGCAGCTTTGTTGCTCTGGTCCTATCGTAAACAGAGCAGAGAGAAAAAAAATTTCCCCGATTTTGTTTCTTATTTCACGCAACTTTAAAATGAAACCTGAGAAAAATTAAGGACTTCAATAGGATTTGAGCTTTTGATTCGGCATTTCCGTTTCTTTACCTAACCAAGTGGTCTGAAGCCTACGAGTTTTCAAAAATACAATTGACCTGCCTCAGCGCTCAACGTCCTAGTTGGTTAAACCATCGATTCTCGAGGTCATGGATTTAATTCTTGTTGGAGTTCGAAATTTTCTCAGCAGACAGAAACATCACTTTAAGAAGCATTTGATCATTTCATCGAATTTCTACAGTCCATATGAATTAATTGATATCCATGATTACAGGTATGTAAATTGGAGATGCAGCTACAGAACGCAAGAAAGGAAAGAGAAAACCTTAAGACTCAGCTTAATGAATCACGCGACGAACTTCGCGAAGGCAAAGAACTGAACTCTTTGCTACAGAAGGAAGTTCTCAAGATACAGCACCAAGCAGATAGCCATAAAGAAGAACTTGTGAGCAAACAAACACAAGTGGAAAAGCTTGAAAATGCCAATAGAGACCTTGTGTCAAAAATTGCTGATCTGAATAGGCAGATTTCCCAACGGAGAATGGCCTTTGAATCGCGTGCAGAGAAAGGTACAGATGTTGAAACCGAGCTAAGTTGGTTTCAGTCAAAATTTAATGAGTTACTTGCAGTTTTGGAATCTTTGAAAGCGGAAGATTATGGCCATCAAAGAGACTATTTGGTTGCTCCCGTTAAAGAGCTTACCACAAAAGAGACTGATGAGGAGACGCTAGACAGAATCACGGAGCTGGAATTGGAAAATTCAAAATTGCGTGGCACCATTGCTGAACTATTATCAGATATGTCTGCGCAAGAAGGAGAAGGATTGAACATGGAACCCATCTATGCTCAAGATGATATAGAACAGCTCACACAGAGGCTAGAAAAATCTTCGATACAAATTAGTCAATTAGAAAGCAGTTTCGAAGCAGCAATTTGCGAGGGAGATGATTTACGAGAAGAACTTTCATCATCTGAACGAAGAATGTCTCAGGCAAAAGATCTACTACAGAATGTTGAGGATGCCAATTATGAACTCGAAGAGAAGATGGCAAACATGCAAAGAAAAATTATCAATTACCAGCGAGATGCTGAGAGCGCATTGAGGCTGAACACAGACCTTAAAGCTGAGCTTGAAGAGGAAAGGTCAAAAGCCAAAAGGTTAAACACAGAGGTTACAAAGCTGAAACATCGTTTCGATGAACTTGAAAGAAATACGGACTTAAAACAGGGAGAGATCCGTGATAAAGATGAAATCATTAAGAATTTGACGGCATCATTGGCAGCGAACAAGTTGAGGACTGATTCTCTTCTGGGTGAGTTGAACAAGATTCAAGCCCAAATAGAAATCTCAGTGGAGGAAAAAATAGAAATGCAAGACGAACTTTTCGAAGCACAGAAGAGAATTCAAGATGCGGATACGCATACTCGACTGATTACCGAAGAGAACGGGGACCTAAGCCGTGAGGTACGGCGGTTTTATCAGAGATTATCTGAGCTTAAAGCTTCGTACAAAACTTGCGAGCACGAAAAGTTCGATTTTCAGCAACAGGCCATGGCTTTGCAGGAGAGGGTTAGTAAACTGGAGGCTGAGATAGACAAAACTATTAAGTTACCCTTCAACTTCAGCTTCATCTGGGGACACTAACTCTGGAATATGTTGCGACTTACGATGCAGCGAATCAAGAGATTGATTTACAAAAAAAGTGAATGAGAAAAGTTATAAGTTTTTGAAAAACGCTCTTCTGTTGCGTTGACGGAAAAAGTGAAATACTTGGCGGACTTTCACTTCACTTCCTGTTGGAAGACATGGAAGCGAAGTTGCATGATACAGAGCATCAGCGGGAGGAGTACAAAATGAAGGCCGACGGGCTGGAAGTTGAGATTGAGATGAGGGATAAAGCTCTGGAGGAAGCACAACGTGAAATGGATGACTACAGGGATAAACTCAAAGCGGCAAAAAAAGAGATTGAGGCCTTGCGCAGTCAACTAAAGGAAGCTAATGTCAGCCTAAAAGCCGCCAATGACGAAAAGAGGATACTTGAAGGTAGGATCAGTGATCTCCAAGCAATCATAGAGCAGTTGAGGAAAGAGCTCTCAGCTAAGAGCTCTGCAGTTGTTCCTAAATCTGGAGCTTGTTTGGATTTGAAATCATTCAATTTACCGTGCTTTCTCACTTTAGGCTGATCTCCAAAGTTTTCGTGAGAAGGAACAAGAACATGTCATTGATAATACTTAAGTTAACAATGCAGCATTTCAAATAGTGCTTTTCAGATGTTTCCATGAGATGCGAATTACAATGACAGTAATCTATCGGCCTTTGAATAAATTCAGCAAAAAAGTAGCTTTGAAAGTCATTAATCGAACTAAGTTAATACGACCTTCAAAACTGAAGGCATCTAAGGCATTGTTACCCGGTAGAAGTGTAGTTTTTGTGCTATCTTTAATAAAATAAAGTTTCATGTTTTTTAATTTGAAATAATGTGTGGCAAGAAGTTGATTATGCAAAGCAAGGCAAGGAGATAATTACCAACATCTGCAAGTCATCACCACTGTGGGGAGACTGAAAGTAATTTCTGTTAACCCTATAACCCCTAAGGGTGCCTAGAATCTAATTTCTCCTGCCAATATCACCCCTGAATCACACATTACTAGAATATAGGAAATAGTCATCAAACAAAAAAGGTCTTGGCTGTTAAACAAATTCTCCTTGTCAGCACCATAAGGAAATGTGTAGAGAACAGTATGGAGAATATGCATACTGATGTTAGGGTGTAAAGTGTAAAAAACAACTTTCTGTGAATAACTAGAAATGGCACAGGAAATAGGCCCTGTTTCCTCTGCAGATACCTGATTTTTACCAGATTTTCCTGTCAAATCCAAAACAACACCTAGAACAACACCTAGATCAAATTTGTAATTCTCATTACTCCTTACTAGAAATGGGATAGGAAATAGGCTGTTTCCTCTGCAGATACCTGATTTTTACCAGATTTTCCTTTCAAATCCAAAACAACACTTAGACCAACTCCTAGATAAAATTTTTAATTCTCCCTACTGTCAACCATACAATTCTTATTATGTTAATTCAGAGAATTTAGTATTGGATCAACTAATTATCCCCAAATTGACATTTTTCTTTATTCTCATCACTTATCTGGTTGATATTGTAAGGAGGAATTCTGTCTTGGTCACTCATGGGAGTTAAAGGTTAAATATCAGTTGGACATGTTTGGAGCAGTGATCTGGGTTTCAAAATGAAACAAAAGCACTTAAAAAAAAGACAAAAATAAACCAAAAATAAATAGCCACCTTTCATTTTGCCCTCTTATGACCCACAAACAGTGTGACCATAGAGAATGTTCCAATAGTAAATCTAACATTTAAAAATTTATAGAGGTACATCAATAAGATGTTGCTCTGGTATTTCTTTCCTCTTCAAAATTACAACTAGTTTCAACTAATCAGGATTTTAGCAAGGACTCTGAATGTTCAGGTGTAATACATCTTACAGAAGGAATCATCCAGGGGGAGATGACATGATCTCTTAATGAAAGATCTTGCCTAAAGGGTGGTCTAATTCCTTAACCTTCCCATGCTTGGTGGTTCTATGAGGAGTTGAATTCACCTTTAAGAAGATGATTATTGCAAACAACCGCAAAAACATTGATGTGAAAGTGAGTTTGCCCAGACTCAGACTTAAAAACACTTTTTCTTTCAGGACTGAAGGCACTGTTTACAGACACTTTCTGGTTCTTTTGATTCAGAACCCTGCCTGAACAACTCAAAGAAATTGTAACACCTCTTTTTGTGTGCTAAGGCAATTAGCTTTAATCCTTTAACTCCCATGAGTGACCAAGACAGAATTTCTCCTTACAATATCAATACAATATCTACCAGATAAGTCATAAGAATAAAGAAAAATATCAATTTGGGGATAATAAGTTGATCCAATACTAAATTCTCTGAACTAACATCATAAGAATTGTATGGTTGACAGTAAGAAGAATTACAAATTTGATCTGGAAGTTAAAGGGTTAAGAGCTCTTGAGTCACCCAAGTTTAATTTGATCCAGTCAGTAAATGATAGTAAAATACCATTGACAACTATTTCACCTTGGAATTTGCAAGCACCAAGAAAGACATCAGTAACATAGTGGCTCTGTGATGATTCTTTTAAATGGTAACTCTCGAAAAAAAGGTTAGAAAACTTAAAAAGTCAATGAACATGTGTGTCCTTTATTTTACAATGTACATGAATCATAGCCTGGAAATTAAAATTTTTCTAAGCAAAATGTTGGCATTTTGATTGACTCAGAGTATATTATGAGATAATCCCAAACAGTGTAGTTTTGCATGCAAAACAGTAAGCCACCAAATATTGTCAGGTTAAAATACAAGCCACATAAACCTAATGGCACATTACAAATCAAGCTTAGTCTGATTCCTGTGGCACTGAGTGACAAAAAACTGAACATCTTATCTTAGGGCCTTGTATATGCACACCAATAGGCTATGCTGTTTCCTCTCAAATGTCCATAACAATACAACTGACATAAGATGGCTCAAGACTTCATGCGTGTAACAACTTTTGGAGGGTCAAGATTTGAAGGATTTAATGAAATAAAGTAAGATCACAAGACAAACTGCAAAAAACTAGTGTCTTGGGGAGCCCTGAGCCCTTCATAAGAGTGACCTCTTATACGAACTCTTTACAGTGGCCAATTTAGGTTATAAACTCAGTTGATAACACTAAATTACCCTGTAATACCTCCTATTGATGCAGCACCACAGTTTCTTTAGAAACTTACCCCCTTTAATATGGGTCTAGTCAACATACCTTGGAAGGTGAGTTCATATAGAAAGTGAAAGCATTCTTTTGCTCATGCTGTCTGGTATTCATGCCTTCAAGGCTCCAAGCGAAACTTTGTCCGTTGTCATTATTTGGCAACTGAAAGTCACAGTATGGTAACCAGAAGTAAAATTTTAGTCGCCAGAAAGAATTGGGAAAACTGAGTATTACAACATTTTGAGCAACATCACATATTTTATACTTTGTCACTTTGCGTCACTTCAACTTTTGACCATAAATGGTGAGTCATAAAAACATAATAACATTCTCCATTATTTAAACTTTTAAGCTGCAAAGTTAGTCATTATAATGATTTTTCTTCTGCTATATGGTAGCTAAAACAGTCACAACTTAGTAAACTCCCTTTAACCCTTTGACTCCCAGAAGTGATTAGCATGTAACTTCTCCCAGTCATATTTACACATTTTACAGCAAATAGGTAATGAGAATACTCAAATTTCTCGGGCAGGAGTTACTATTTTAATCCAACACCAAATTCTTGTAACTAATTTACAAGGAAATGTATAGTAGCTAAAATAGGAGAATTGACAAGGAGATCTTGGGAGTTAAATGGTTAAGATGGATGTCAAAATGACCCTTACCTTAGAGGTTATTTTATCTGTGCTCAAATGAAATAAAAAATGGAACACATTTTTTGTCCTCAGGCAGATTAAATGATAACAAAGAACTGGTGTAAAATTCTGTAATAAAAAATTATTCAAATTATGATCATAATCTTTTCATCATAATTTTCACTCTTGTAATCTATTGTAAAGAAATTGACCCCAAGGAATTCTGACAACATTCTTCATGGGTATTTCAAAAAATGTCTCATCGTCAGACATTGATGAAATCAAAACAAGTAATGGTATCCTATTTATGGTGTGGTGGTATTAATTGTGCTGAACAGGTGTTTTCCAGCAATGATAGAAATTAACCAGCCAAAGCAGCCCCCATTCCTTCACTTCTCTCCCCTCACCATGGGTATAGGGGTAAATCTCCTAATGAATTCTCTACAGATAGCTAAGTCTGCCCACATCCCTTTCCCCCCTATAGGATGACTGATGAAAGGTGCAAAAAAAACAGTCCATTTGACAGTCCTGTGTTAATTTCTAAGCTTTAAACCCCATCTCCCGAAGTGATCAACATGTAGCTTCTCCCTATAATATCCATACATTATCCAGCAAACAGGTTATGAGAGCAATGGACCTTATCAAGTAAAGGTTGTTGTCTTGTTATAACACCAAATTCTCATCACTCATTTACAATGTAATGGTGGAGAAAACCAATTAACAGATCTATGAGATTAAAGGGTTAAACTGGAGTGAGACTGGGAGAGACCTTTTTGAATAGAGGCGAGACATAAGTTAGAAAGATTGAAGAGTACATGTAATAGGCCAATTTCAATAAATTAACCCTTTAACTTGTAGAAGTGATTAACATGTAACTTCTCCCTATAAAATCCATACAATATCCAGTAAACAGGTAATGAGAATACTCAAAATTATCAGGTTTAAGTTGTTATCTTGATCTAACACCAAATTCTCATAACTTATTAACAAGAAATTGTTTAGTAGCTAGAAGGGAGAATCAAAAATCAGACCTTGGGAGTTAAAGGGTTAAAATTCTAACATGACTCTGAGGCTAGGGGGAACAAAACAAAAGAAACTATTTATTCACCCCTCAACCTCGATTTGATTTCCTCTGCTTTATTCTCCCAAACCTCGGAGCCAAGTTTGAATTTCAATATATACAAAATGGCCTCTTGGATAAAAGTAAGGTTTGTATGAGGTCACTGACTGTCAGCATCACTGCCAACAAAGCACTTAGCTGTTGAGAAACGAAGAAAAATTAGAATGTTGAGGAATTCACCTCTAGTTGGTTCGTATCTGCACAAGATAGAATTCTTGAGCATTAGCCACCATCGCCATTCAAGCTATAGCACGGTTTTCCTGTACAAGCACAATAAGACTTCAAGGTTCCTTATGTCAACTGTATTTGGATTGGTTGAAATTTTAAACTTCTGCTGAAATATGCCAGGTGCCGTGACAATCTTTTAAACTTCATTTTCGAGAAAATGCGACATTTTCTGTCCATTTAGAGGAAAACCCGCGGTGTCACGCTCAAAGTAAACAATTTCCGGTGAGTTTTGTAAATAAAAGGCGTGGCTACTCAGCTTACACGTGCCGACAACATTCGTTGCGTGACCTAAGGTCATCTAAAGAACGTTACGCACCGAAAAAGCTGGGAAGTATAGCTTATATGACAATGTGTACCTTTCAAGTGTCTTGTGATCATTGTCACAACTGATGGCTCATCCATCTCTTAGGACGATCATGTTTCCGGGGGTTTTCCATTCGACCAGAGATGTTGAATTCTATAGCATTCTCAAAGCGGGGTGGAAGGTCTTTTTAAAACACCATTCGGAACTCAATCCCAAACACTAAAGACTATAAAAATCGGGAGAATCCCAACTAATGTAGATGAAGACTACTGGAAAATTAAACACATAGGGCTGAGATAAACCTTATCGGTTACATTTCTTTTTCTGAGTGAAAAAAATTTTTATTTTCGTGTTGGTACCAGATCACGCGGCCGGATGTTTAACGGACGATCAATAATGGCCCTCACTTCTTCAAGAAAATCATAGTAGCTATGAAAGATTTTCATGTTGGTCTTTCAAAGTGAAACAGGCACCTTGCAACTAACTGAATAAGCACGATTTTCAAGGGTTATAACTATTTTTCCCCTTCACTGACGCCACGAAATATGGAAATCTTTTAGTGCTAGCTTTGGAGCTAGTTTTTCTTATTGCAATTGGAAGCAGTAGGAAGATGGTCCCTTCCCGATGGGGAATCTTGGTGCCTTTTGCTCAGCGTTAGAAACTCGAGATTTTCTCCGATAGGGTAACAATTCCATGGAAAAAACATTCCTTTTATTGTAAAATGTTCTTTATTTTTAATCACTTCAAGGTGATTTAACAAAATGTTAATGAAAACTTACTTAGAAAAGGGAAACTTCAGACGTGTTTTTCTCATAAATGACAGATACATTTTTAGGGAATGAATCTTAACTGGGAACAGGGATTTTTTTCTCACGCTGGGATGTGAAAAATGGGAAACGTGTCTGGGAGTTTAAGTCTGTTGTCAACTCTTGGCATAGAAGAACAAGAAGCTTGCCTAACGAGACTGAATCACGAAATTAAATTGAATAACTTTTAGGGGGGATTTCGATTGACTTTTGAAGAAACGAAGCCGAAGAAATCGCATCAGCCAATTGGAACAAAACAAAATATCACAGGGAGTTCATAAGAACTCAGAGTTAAATAATGAAATCACCTAAGGGACAGGAAAATGCAAGTGACTAAGGCTCCCGATTGGTTCCAGTTTTGCACGTGATTTCATAAAAGCGTGCTTATGGTTTTCCTTAACCAATTGCAGAGTGATGAGAACTAAAACCTGCAATACAATCCAAACCTACCTTATCGCATTCAAAAAACTGCTACGCACTTTGTCTCTGTCTAATAGTGACCTTAAAGATTTTTCCGTTACTAGAGAACGTCTTTGCCAGTTCCTTTGGTGCAAATATTCATCGGAAAGTTTGAAAAAAATTTTAAAAAACCTTGAAATGACCCAGAATCTCAAGGTTGGTTACGGCCGGATAACTAACTTAAAAGTGAATTGAACTGCTAAAGCTATCTAGGGGATAAATGTTACTTAAGCTTATGCTGCGGTCTCCAGTCAAATTTCTCCCTGAAATGCTTTGTTCGGTCACCGATATGCTGCGCATGCTTAGAATTGGTGAGGCGCTGACTAGGCCTCGAAGATCTTCAACCGTCAGGGGCTCGTGTTGAGAACTGAAGATTTCTTTCATTCGTCTGTCGGACTTCTCATACGCTTCTTTAGCCACGAACAACTCTTTCTCCAGTTTCTCTACCTCTTTCTGCCAGGACAATATTTGCGAGCGAAGTTCACTCAAGTTTGCGTCTTTCTTCTCCATAATCTTCTGATGATAGTCATTTTCTGCTTTCAACTTTCTTGTCTCCTTTTCTAGTTCGTAGATACACTCCTGGAATCTTTCTGACTGCAAACTCCTATCCAATTCTTCCGACCGATTATTGTTTATCTCAGGTGTCATGGAAACCTGGTGCTCCAGTCGACGCTTCTCTGTGGTGAGGGTGTGGTTAGCTTGTTCGAGATTGAATACCTTCCTCTTGGAGTCTTCAAGGTTAGCATGGAGCTGCACTTTTTCCGAGTGAAGCGAATCGAGTTTTTCTTTATAAGATGAAAGCAGCAGATTTAAGGAAGCTACCTCGCCAGAGAGTCTACCTTTCTCGTCCTTAAGCTTTTGTATACCTATATTCTGATCAGTGACACCGGTAGAGCCAACGTATCGAATAACCTGCTTCTCAGTTTGTGACGATTCTTGTAACTGATCAAACCGCTTTTGTAACTCAGTAAGCTGGAAATAAAGATCGTCTTTCTCTCGTTTTATTCCATGGTAACTTGTTTCCCAGCGAGACATTTGAAGCTGGAGGTCGTGGAATTCAGTTGCAAGTTTTTGTTTTTCTTTGTACGCTCGATGGTAGCTATCCATGTATTGTGATAATTCTTTCTTGAGTAAGTCGTTTTCATTTTGAAGACTGCAAGCAAGCACCCTTTCTCTAGATAGTGCATCAGAATTTCTTCCATCGTTTCCGTTACTGACAAGTTCAGCAGTTAAAGTGTCATTTCTCTTTTTGACCTCATCTATCAACCTCTTCAGTTCATTCTCTTTCCGAAGCTGTACTTGAAGCTCACCGTCTAAAGATTCCAATTTTGAGGTGCCTACAGAGCCTCCAGAAACTTGCTTGTACAGATAAGCTGATTCCATTTGAAGTACTTTATGTTCAGCCGAGATGACCTTTTCATCACTTGTTTTTATTTTCTTCTCGTATGCGTCTCGCTCATTTTGTAACCGTGCGATTGTATTTTTGGCAGCAATAAGATCATGTTCAAGTGCATTCAATTTTAGTTCTATATCATTTGTATTTGTTTCATGCTTAGCATCCTTTAATACCCGTCCTTCGAGATCGTCAATCCTTTTCGCCCTCCAAATCACTTCACACTCTAGCCTCTCTTTCTCTTGACTTACTGCAGCTAACTTAGCTTCGAGATCTAGTACTTTCCTTTCCAGTAAAGAAATTTCACGTGTACTTTCTTCAATTTTCCAAACCAAATGGGTTGTGTTTTCTCCTATGGGTCCATCTTTCATTGTCCCACTTGAAAAAGAAATGTGCGAACTGTTCTTGGTTTCATCTTGTTCGACAATGCTAAGCTTAGCTTTTGACACCGACAACTCCTCTTGTAATTGTTGTGTTTGTCTCTGAAGTGATTCATAACGGGACTTGATTTCAAAGTTAGTCCTCTTTAACATAAGCAATTCTTTTCTGCAGTCTTGAAGTTCTTCTTCTTTAGTAGAGCTCTGCGCTTCCAAGTACGACATCTTCTCACGCAACGATATAATTTCTTCTTGAAGGCGTTCCGTCTTATGCCTTGACTCGTTGTAATCGTGCCTTTGCTTTGTTTCAAGAGCCTGAACGTCAGATATTTCGAAACGGAGCTTGCTGTTTTCTTGAATAAGCCGCTTCACGTTTTCTTCTGAACTTAAAATGCAGTTATCTTTCTCATCGAGCTTGAGTCTCAGTTTTGCTAACTCTTGATTCATAGTGTGATAATCATTACTTCCACTGGCGATCCTTAGCTTGAACGATCGTAATTCCTCTTCCAGGAGCCTTACTTTCGTGCCTTGCTGTCTGTAAAAGCTATCTTTATTCGCCAGCTCCTTTTTGTAATTTTCAACCAAACCTCTGAGGCTGGAAAGCTCCCTCTGCGTTTCATAGAATTCCTCTTTGTTATAAGCAACCTTTTTGTTGGCCTCATCCAACTGGGTCTTGATCGTCAATTGCTCAAGAAGTGCCTTCTGGAATCCTTCATCAGACGTTGTCATTTTTCTTTGGTAACCAGTGACGCTAGTTTGGAGTTCTAGAATCTCCTGTTGTGATGCATCCAGTTTTCCTTGCAGCTCTGTGACAACTCTCTTTAGGTTAAACACTTCTTTGCAAGATTCATCTTTTTCCCTAATTGCTGATGTCAATAAACCCTGTGTGCTATTTAATTCCTGCTGGAGCACGAAAACATCCTTTTGAAGCTTTTGGTTGTCATTTGCCGAGCTGTATCCATTTTCTTCCCTTGTCACGCCTCTGTGTTCAAGAAGCAATCGGGCCTCTTGCAAACCGCGCTGAGCTGTTAACAGCTCATTGTCTCTGTTTTTGAGCTTTTCTATGTACTCTTGAACTCTAAGCTCTAACTGCCTTCGCATATTATCAGCTGAATTCACCTCCATTTCCAATTTTAAGACCTTGTTTTTAGCCTCTTGCATTTCACCATGAACAGTTTCCAACTGGACAACAGAATGACGATGATCATCCTTTAACGGAGTGAATTCTTTTTGCAGTGCGATGAGGTCTTGTTCTATCTCGTTTTTTCTCGCTACGACCACGCTGTATTTCGATTCCAATTTTGAAACTTTGCCACGAGCTGCGTACAAACTTTCTTGCAGTTCCCCTTCTTTTGCAACATATTCTCGGCTGCTGGCTTCCAAATCGACAATTTTTCTTTTTTGCATCTTGATCTGTCTTTCAAGATTTGAAATTTTTTCTTGTAAAACAGAACTTGCATTTTCATCAGCCTCACGTCGTGATAAAGACTTATTCCGAGCCTCAAGACTTCTGCATTGTTCAGCCAGCCCACCATTCTCCGTTTCGACCCTGTATAGTTTCTTCCTCAGAGCATCAGTTTCGATTTCCAGTTTAGCATACCTTCCGTGAAGCTCTCTTGTATCTGCATCTTTCTTGATGGCCTCGGTCTTAAGTCGATCTATGTTGGCCTCTAGATCCGCAATGTGCTCCTCTGCTGTCACTTTACTTTCTTGATGTACCAATGAATTGTTCTTCCATTCTTCCACCTTTCCACAAAGTGATTCAGTCTCTCTATTTTGTTCCATTACTTGATGTTCCAGTGACGCTATCTTCGACAAAGCAGACTGATGCTCGAGTTTTACTCGATCTCTTTCATGGGCTTGCTTTTGGATTCGTGTTTCGTATTCTGTGTTGGACGCTTCAAGGGTCAAAATTTCCTGTTGTAAGCGGTCCTTCTCAACCTTCATTCTTTCGCATTCTTCTCGAGATGCAGCTAAAGTTTGTTTTAAACTCTGGATGCTTTCCTCTAAGTAGAGTTTGCTAGCTTTCAGTTGGTTGATCATGAGAACCTTCTCGTCCATCTCTTTCTTTATGGTGTCTGCTCCGATTCTTTGCTCTATAAGTTGTTTATCGTTTTCTAAAAACTCTTCTCGGCTCGCTGATACTCTTTGAAGTGCATTTTCAAGTTGGCGTTTGACTGAGTCCTTCTCACGGATCTCATATTCATATTTCACTTCCAGATCGGACAATTTCCCATGCTGCCCAATCAGCTCTTCTTTCAAAGCTCTCTTCTCTTGTTCGAATTTCTCGATTTTCAGCTCATACTCTTGTGCTCTTCTCTGAAGGAGGCTGATCTCGCGGTTGTGTTCCATATTTTCCTGTTGAGTATTTCTATTCTCAGACTCGAGTCTTTTAATCTTAATCTTGTAGTCATCAATTTTCTTTCGCAGTGAACTTTCTCTATCTTGACTTTGCCGATATAACGCTTCAGTTTCCCATAACTTCTCATCAAAAGACTTCTCAAGTTCTCCATTTTCACTCAAGAAACTGCTTGACTCCAGTTTAGAGATGCTAGTGTTAGCCTCATCTAAGCTATCCTCGAGACTTTTCGCTCTGGACTGACTTCTTTCATAATTAGCTTTTATGATATCCAAGTCCTGTTGCAATGCTGATACGGCCGTTTCCATAATAATTTTGTCATTCATAGCCTTTTCTAAAGCAGTCTCTTTTTCCTTTAACTCTAAGAGTAAAGTTTCACACGATCTCTCCTTATCTTGGATCTGGCTGTGACAAACCTTTATATCCGTCTTTAGCCTTGCAAGTCCGCTTTGGGACTCCTCCCATCGGGTTTTGTAGTCATTTTTATCAAGTTCAAGGTTCGATATCCGGGCTTCTAGACTCGAAGTCCTTAATTTAGAACTACTTATTTCTTGCTCTAACCTCATGACTGAGTCTCTAAGCGCAAACACTTCTGTCTCACGTTGTTGAAGTTTCTCTCGCAAAGATGTTAACCTGCCTTCGTACTCGCTTTTCTCTGCTCTCAGCCCCTCATTTGTCACTTTTATGGTAATAAGTTCATTTTTTGCCTTCTCTAATTCCGCTTCTGCAGATCTGATTTTCACTTGAAGTTCGTCCGCGAGCTGCTCTTTCCTGACAATCTCTTTGTTAACGGTTTCTTTAATCTTCTTTTCTTCGATAACCTGGCTCTCCAGTCGCATAATTTGATCTTTATCACAAACAAGCTTAGCGCTGTTTGCATCAAGTTGTTCCTTGAGCTGTGCTCTCTGATCTTGAATAGTCTCGATTTGTGATTCATATTTTGCGATCCTCGTTCTCATAAGATGAAGTTCTTCTTCTGATCTTTCTTTAATTTGTCGACACATCAAAACCTCTTGTTCAAGCTCAGAGTTCCGTTTCTCCAAAAGGCTTAATTTTTGCTCCCGTTCTTCTTTATTTGCCACCGTCTCTTCCAGCTCTTGCTTCAAAACAGACATTTTGTTTTCTGCTTCTTCTAATTCGTCGAGGACGCCTTGAATGTCGTTCTTCGTAAGCTCAGACAGAGACTCCAGTGAGCTGACTTTGCTTTTATATGTTGCTAATTGTTTGGCAAGCTCACTTGCCCGCGATCGCTCGTGATCCAGTTCTCTAGCCTTGTCAGCGGCTGCAGACCTCTTCAAAGACAATTCCATGCTCGCAATCTGGTTCTGTGCTGTATTGAGTTCTGCCTCTAGCTGCTCTTTACGTTTTAACGTTGCTTCATAAAGGGCCTGTGCTCTTGAGTACTCCTCCTGTTTACTCACAAGGTCATTGTGTAACATTTTCTTCTCCTTTTCACTCATTTCCCGCATGTTCTTCACATTTTTCAGCTCTTTATGGCAAGCGTCGGAGTTGACGTTAAGCACATTTAATTCCTCTTGAAGCTGTTTGGACAGTGCGTCTTTTTCTGCTATATCCTTGCGGAGGTCATTGTTGACAGACTGCTGCTCGAGCAGCTGACTCTTAAGTAAATTTATCTCTTGAGTAACAGCATTGTGGGTGGCAGTGCATTCCTGGATTCGTATTTCGCTCGCAGAGCGCTGCTTGACAGATTCGTCGATCTCAGCCTCCAGCCTACTAACCTTCTGCTGTAAAGCCATGGTTTGGTGTTGGAAATCGAACTTTTCATGCTCACATGTGTTGAAAGAGGCTTGTAGCTCGGATAATCTTTTGTAAAACGACTGAACCTCAAGGTTTAATTTTTCGTTCTCTTCGGACGTCTGTCGGTTTTCGGCAGCCGCATCTCGGACTCTTTTCTGCGCGTCTAAAGTCTCCTCTCGCAGTTCTCTTTTCTCTTCCTCCGTTATCTCAATCTGTGCTTGGAGTTTGGTAACCTCACTGAGTATAGATTCTGTCTTCAGCTCGTGCGCCGTCACGGAGGCTCTCAAATTCTCGATAGTTTTATCTTTGTTGCCGGACTCCTTTAGCTTTAGATCTGCGTTTCTCTGAAACTCATCATAACGACTTTTTATTCTTGCAAGCTCTGCTTTTAATTTTGTGACCTTGGACCTCTCTTCCTCCAGCTCGGCTTTTAGGTTTGCCTTCTGTTTAGACTGGCTTTCTCTTTGCCCTTCACACTTAAACATCTGACTTTTCATTGCTGCCATCTTCTCTTCTAACTCGTTGCAAACATCTTCAGTTTTCTGTAATAGAGACCTTGTTTCAGTAATTCGTCGTTCAGATAAAGTGAGCTCTTCCCGTAGTCCATCTTTCTCGCTAACTACTGCTTCGTAACTGGACTCCAGCTGGCTAATTTTAATTGAAGATTCTTCAAGTTTAATACTAAGCCTTTCGTTATCATCTTGGGCCTGAGCATAACTAGGTCCCAACTGTGATACTTTTCTTCCTTGAGCAAATATTTCTGATTCTAGTTCCGAAACAGTATCGTGCAGTTTCGAATTCTCCATTTCAAGTTCTGTCATTCTCTCAAGAATCTTCCTATTAGTCTCTTCCGTAGTTGTAAGCTTACTTGACACAGCAAATAGCTGTCTCTGGAGATCATCTTTTTCAGTTTTTACTGATTGTAAACCAGTATCCAACTCGGTAACTTTTGACTGCGACAAGTTCAACTCTGTTTCAACACCTTTTTTTTGCGTGGCATGCAATTCCAAAGACATTCTCTGTTTCTTCATCTCCTCCTTTAAATCTTCCATCCTAGACACGAGATCTTTGTTGGCGACTTCAAGTTTTTCTACTTGGCGTTGTTTAGCTGAAAATTGTTCCTTAGCGTTGTCAGCTTGTTGTTGTATCTCGAGGAGTTTCTTCTGCAGTAGAGAGTGTGTATCTTTGTTTTGGCGTAGTTCATCGCGCGAATCACTTAGCTGTGCCTTGAAATTTTCTCTCTGTTTGGTTGCGCTTTGTAACTGCATCTCCAGTTTTGATACCTGAGTTAGGAATAAAAGGTTACGTCACTGCGAAAGCATACAGTATGCCCCGAATTATTGGACTGGAACTGCAAAAATGAACCGTACTATTTGAGGAGTTTCATAGTGCACTTTGCTAATTTTTTGGAAAATTATTCAAGTGATTCCACTGAAATATTCCGTAAGCATATATTTTGATCATTTTCTTAAAAACAATTTCATAAAATATCCTCAAATTGACATCCGAAATTACATCTGAGGTTCCCCGTAGTTCCTACTCTGCTAAGACAGGACATTCGTTTTTCTCTACGATTAATGTTGCAATTGGAATTAACGTGTCGTGGCAGAACGCAAGACAAAATACATTTTACTCGCCTTAATTTTGTAATTTTTACTGCAACTCATCAGTTCCCTCTGTGACCTCTCGTATTCTGCCTGAATATTGGCGAGTTTGTCTTGTATCTCCACTAAATCATTCTGAAAGTTTTCCTTCTCTTGCAGTAAACAGTTGTAACTCTCCTCCCAGTGGGCAGCTTCTTGTTTCGCAGCAAGGAGTTGTTCATTATCCTCCAGTGTAGATCTTTGGATAACTGCCGTTGACATGGACGCCATCTCTTGCTGCAGACTCGCAAACTCTTTCTCCAACTCCTCCTTTTCCTTTTGTAAGACATTAGCGGTGTTCTTACACGAGGTCACCTCGTGCGCGAGATTCTCCTTCTCCCAGTCTCTCTCCGCAAGAGTGTGCTTAATCGTTACCAGTTCTTCTTGATATTTTTTGCATTCTGCTCGTGTCTGATTTAGTTGTTCATCTGAGGCACCCTTTGCCCTATCCATTTAAGCAAAATATTAAATTATTTGGGCAAAACAGACAAGGAAACATTAATCTATCTTTTCTGGGAATGTTCGGTAACGAAAACCTTTTGGGGAAGGGTTCATTGTTTTTTCGTTTCATTTCATTTGATAACAGCCTCACACGTTTTGGATATCGATGAATGTTTAGGTTTTAGAGGAAAGAAAAGATGATATTTTAGCAAGCCATTGTTTGCTCCTCACAAGGTATTATATTTATTGCTGTAAATTTAAGAACATATCTCCATCTATCAGAGAATATGCGCAACAGCTGAAATATAATTTAGAAATTGAAAAACAAATATCTATCGTGACTGATTTACAGAAGAAATTTCAACAGAATTGGGACAAAATACTTCATGCACAATAATTGCTATATAGTTCGCGGGCGGGCTCCAAATGTGACCCTACTCACAGGCTATATTTTACTCTCCATACGCTGATCTTAAGCCTCTGAAAATCAATTTTTGCCAAACGATGTACTTTTTTTTCAAGCTCTTACTCTTATCTATCCCACCCACAATTTAGCCTTTTTGTCTTTCGTAACTGTTAATTTTTTGTGAATAAGGTTCTCTTTTTTTGTGGGTAAATGATGTGCCTCTAAATATGTGTGCATTATCACACTGTACGTAGTGTAAGTAGAACAATGTAAGTAGCATAAATATTAATTGTATCTTAAGAATACTCTAAGTAAGTAGAGTAACGCAATGTACGTAGTGTAACGCAATGTACGTAGTGTAACACAATGTACGTAGAAAGGCCCACAAAAGGAACTTTAATGTAGTTCATGTAAGTATCATGTTGTAAAATTGAAAGAAAAAAAAAATTAATTAAATGAAGATACGCAGTGTATGCCTATTTTTATACGCATTGCATGCCTATTAACTTTCCCGCCAACTCATCTTCCCTTTAGAGTAAAGTTTAAAAGCTTTTTGATCGCTATTTTGAATTAAATTTTTGACATTGTCCTGGAAGACCTTAGGATATTGGGTATTAAGATATTAGACACGGATGTTTCGACGTTAGTGGAGCATCACAGTCGGCACTTGCGTCGCATTCTAGACAGAAATTCCTGAACATTGGAAGCAGTGGTTTAGTGAATTGTTTATGAATCGATTTTGTTTAACAAAACCTAACCTAATCTAGCCTTGTTAATGGAAGCTTCTTGTAACCACGGGAAGTTTTAAAACTTTTTAAATTCGTGGAATAAAGTGTTTGTTTACTCTATCAATGGTTTGAGTTTTCGACGCCTTTGCTCAATCTGCTTGGTAAGATTGAGGGACACTCTACAACTTGCAGTGATGTGGTGTTCCTCATTTTTTGCATAGCATTTCGGCTGATATAATTCCGCATAGTGGTCTTGCGTTTATCTTTAATTCAGCGGTGTGCGTTGTTTGTGTTGTTAAGGCTACTGTCTACGACGTAATAAAATAATTTTATTTGTTGTGGTTTTTTTATTCAGTGAGACCCTCTTTCAATAATCATTGACCCTTGTCGTCCTTGTCTAAGCTTTAATTCAAATTACTTTGAGGCTAAATATCCATCATATGCTAAAGAGGAGTAGGGAAACAAGGAAACTGCGTAAGCGGTTCGACTTTTTCCACATGAACTTGGATGGCTAAAAGAAGTGTCTGTGAAAACGATATGGATCACTGCGTAAAATGCGTGATGCAATGTTTTTAAATATTCTTGACCAACACAACGGTAAATGACGATGACTTTTTATTTTCACTGTTGTGCAGGGGTTGGCGGTAAGAATGGTTGTCGCTCAATATAGATATGATAAAGTTGCTGTCCAGAGTCAACAAATTCATTATGTCGTTCTGTGTGTTATAGAGTTCGGGCACGAGTATGGAAATTTATACTTGTTGAGATTGCAAAATGTCGGTGTTTCGTGCGTCAAAATGCAGTGATGCAATGTTTTTTTTTTTCTTTGGAGAATGTAATGAATTCAAATCACATGAACTGCTCAAGCAGTTCGTGATCTATGGTAAAACGTAATGTTTTCAAAGGTTTTCAAATTGCTTTCGTCCAAGGATCATGTAACCACAGAAGCTTTCTAAGATTCACTCTGGCCTTTAAATTACGAAATGTAGTAGCGTTCATGCAATTTCCTACACTTACACACGAGCTGTCAATGAATTGTGATATAGTCTCTCCGCACAATTTAAAATCTCTTGTCTGTTTTGGTATAACTTAAGTCTGGAGTAAGTAATCTTCGACAATAAACACACCAATTTTGAATAAACAATAGAACGTGGCTAAAGTAAAGTTAAATCGATTTTAACTCTTTCGAAAACAAAGGAAGGTGAAGGTAGTTGACTTTAAGGCTTTCGAACTTGACTTGAGTTAATTCCTGCACTGCTCATTTAAAATCGTCTCGTCTTTGTGTACAAACTAAATACTATGCAAATTCATATTCGCTTGATGTCCATGGACAGGCTCAATTCCTTAATCGAGTGGATTCTTGCTCTCTGGGGACAAGGTTCTTAGAACATAAATACAAGTTAGACGGTATTGCATAATTATTCAAAAGTTTTGCCTTTACTTGTGATTTTAAGAAATTTCCTTTGAGATAAAATGTACAAAGAAACCTAGGGGGTACTTTAGCTTGCTGACGGTTGAAGGCAAGACTAAGAATACCAGCACGAAACGTGAAAACAACCATATCAAAAAATTTTAAACTTTGTTATTGGCGACTGAATACGGGAAACAAAACAGCCATTACAAAGATTATACGCGCTCGAACTGAAATTGGGCACGTCCTACTGAAAAACACGGAAAAAATAAAACTTAAAGGTACAAATTTTATTTTTTGAAGAATTCTTGTTAACTTTTGCCGTGGAGACGAGCACGACTTATGCGACAGACTAATAACCATTCCTTGATATCTTATAATTATCAATTAGTCAAGAAATAACTCGAAACCGCATGCTTTTCGTGATATAGAAAGACGAAGACATGAGTATATCAGACTGATAGCAAGGGAGGCCGGCGGTCAATTCTTTAAGGAAAGCGTAAATTTTGCCATACGTAAATCGAAGCCTTTGTTTTACCATTTTTTTCACGATTTGACATTGTCGGGACGAAATAAAATAATTTCTTTAAAAAATAAAGCCATAATCCTAAAAGGTGAGCTGGAATTTTAGCTTTTGCAGAAAAGAAACCTGGATAAAAAAAAATTCAAACTTCGATGGGATTCAGACCCATGCCCCCAGATTCTAGTTGGGCACTACCAACTGAGCTAGGATGCAGGGAAAATTCTAGGAGCTTCTTCTCAAACTTAAGTCGGTGATAAGTGACCTCTCGACTTTTAAGTGTTGGTTTTTCGGCATCCTTTGGCGGTATTTATATAGAAAGAATTTCAAGTCCTCTGGGCAGACGGTCTCAGTTTAGCCATTGAGACCATCTATCGAACTTAAAACTATATTGTAGCATAGTACTTAGTTCTAGGTTGGAAAATTTTTCTTTCTTGAGTATCAAAGTTGTTTAATGACAACTTCTTGAAATTAAACCAAAAGTTTGGATTATAAATGTCTTCCAGGACATCTTTAGAACAAAATAGCAGTCAAAATCCATCTCCGCTGAAAACATAACATATTTTCCTGCGCAATTCTGTTCTGTGGTATTTTAAATTTTATATCACTGAACAAAGCAATCAAATTAATTACATACTTAAACTTCTCACCTGTGCAGCATGCTCAGTTTTCACTATTTCCAGCTCGTGCTTGAAGGTCCTATAAGCAGCCTCCAAGTCACCAAACGTTTCCTTAGCTGAGGCCAGATGGTGTAATGTCGCATCCGCTGCATCCACAGACCTCTCGATCGAGCTCGAGAAGCTTGTCTCTTCCAAAGATTCTACGCGTGAAGAGCGAGACATCTATAAAAAAGTTGCAGTGTCTATGTGTGTCTCGTTCAGGTAGTGGCAAGCAACATAACGAACGGTTTTCTATTTACGTAACTCCACTGTTTGCTAAACAAGTTGGTTTCGTGCAGTCAAAATGTTTTAAAATCTCAGCTGATTAGTAGCGAAATATCTATATATTTTATTTTTTTGTTGTGGGACGCTAATTTGGCTTAACTGACAAAAAGCAATATTTCAATAGTCTCTCATAGCAACAGTTGTTTGTCAGTGACTTCAAAACGGCACGGTCCCAAAAGACTCGACGCGGCTGTCATTGTTCATTCACGATAGCTTGACGCTTTGCGCTTAATTTTTTTGTAATGAAGAGATTGAGTAAAGGAGACCAATTCCGTTTGGTGACGAATGTAAACAAAAACACAAACTCGTCAACTACGCTGTGAAGAAAGTGGCTATTTGCTTTGTTGGAGCGTGGGAAATGAAAACAACATCTGAGTTCCCCACGAGGAATCAAACACCAAACCTTTGAATGGATTACGCGGTCCGATGCTCCTACTGAATTTCAAAGATCTCGTTCGGCCAGTCCATACATTATCTTCATGTGAAGTGCCTGTATTAGTGAGTCACTGGTATTTCCAAGATCGATTCATAGCTGAAGAAAGAACTTGAACGGGCCTATAGTGGTTCATTTGCCTAAAGTTTACCTAGTTACGAAGTTACTTTTTCTCGTGAAATCCTGAGATTTTCAATTTGAAATAACAAAGGAAACAGCAACGTCTCTGAAGCTATCCCTTTGTTTCCGAAAGTTACTTGTTTTAAAACCTCTCCATTCTACTTCCCACTGTGATGAATGGGTTTCCTGTGCAAGTGAAAAGCGTCACAGTGTCACAGGCAGTAAATATTTTATTTAGTATACTGTATGACGCGTCGCAGCGTGTGGTAGAATTTGCGCATTGCAGATGCGGTGCTTATTCGGAGTTGCGCGTATTCAAAATCATCAAAATCCGACAAACATTGGTTTGATGATTCGTTTGCTAAATACACCACTTTCGCCATAAACTGCAGATAGTGTTCTTTGCTTTTTGTACTTTTGCTAAGGGAGAGACGAGAAGGACCAGACAGCATTAAAATTTGGTGGAGTTAGATTGTGTGAGCAAAGCCAAAATTGGAAAGATTTCTAAATAGTTAGAGGTATGATGCGACTCAGAGTGAACCACCGAAAGTAATTTTGCGGTAGAAATGGCGAATTCTACATCACAAAATGTCGTAACCTACAATCCCAATCGCTCTCATCTTCTATCGTAGTTGAATAGCTGGCTTGCCTCTGCTTCCCATCCCCTCTCCCCCCTCTCGACGCCCTACCCCTACCTATAAAGACCGAACTCGCCCCAGTTGTCTCTGTACCATGCAGCTGAGCAAGACGAAAGAGCGCGAGGTGCGATGGGTAGGTTCGCCGTGTTTCCTCTTTGATCTCCCCGGCTACGAGACATATGCGGTGATTGGAGACAAAGCCTGTTGGCAAAATGCTTTACACACATACATAGGAACTGAAAGCAAATCTAACTGTTGGCTACTTCATCTCTCACAAAGCAAAGAGAAAAGGCAAGTTTGCGGTGTTATATTTAATCATTTGTTCCATAAAAAAGGTTCCCTCCAATCGACACATCTCCTAATAGAACTTCATGCTTACTGGACCTTAATGAAGATAATCTTTGGCTCTTTGTTAAAACCATGATTATTTTCATAAAGATTTTAGTTGTATGTCCAGTACATAACCCGCGACTGCGAGTAAGGGCATCGGGGAATAAGGTTGGTCACATACGATGGAGAAGCCTCTTATCAATCGCCTGATTGTGCAGAAACTATGGAAACTTGGGTCTAGTAATTGAGCGAGTTTCTTATTATGTATACTCCCATGTCAGTGAATAACAATTGCATTTTATAAACCGTGTTTTGTGCTCACTGCAAAAGCTAAGAACTACAGTTTTACTCATATAGAGATATTTTGTCTTCAAATATATTTCTTTTTTTCTCCGTAAATATGATAAAAATTCAATTTAATGCAAATTCAATGACAGGACGCGCAAGCTTTAAATACCAGAACAAAGACATTAGCCATAGCTATTGTCTTCATTCAATTCTTCTTTTATTTTTCATAAGTAATAGACAGCTCAAAATGAATTTGTACACGTGTCGAACATGGGTCTATCTTTCGAAAAAGGTTTGCCTGCATTTGCGGCAACGACGCAAAAATAAAGGGCCTTTGTGTTTCCGATCGCTTAATGCAACTGTATATCAAAGAAAGACAGATGGAAACGAAGCAATTGTAAAAAAATTAGCAGGGATATACAGTATACAAAATGAAATATTACGTAACGTAAGAGTGATAAAAGGAAACACGTCCCTAGAGAACAAGAATGTGCATGTTAACTTCGGTTTAGGAGATTAAAATTCCAGTGCCTGGATGCTTGAATGGTATTTCGTCAACATTTCGGATGTTCTTTAAATGCACTTTGAAGGCGAATGAAGTAATCTCAGAAACTGATAACAAAATTCAGAAATTGGTTACTTGTCTATTTAGGAGTTGAAGAGTGAAGCGAAGGCCGAGTCTGTAAATCTACAGCGAGGGATGTCAACCGCAGTTATCCAAAAAGATACAGCGAAGGAGATTGAGCAGCTCTTTGCTGCGAAACAAGAAACCGCCTATTGGGAGGAAAGTTATAACGGTTTACTGCCGGAACACGAGGTCTTTCAGAACAATTTCATGGAGTTACAAGACAAATTAGTCGGAATGCAGGAAGAGTATGAAAATTCACAGAAGGAACTTTTGAGTTGCAGCAAAAATTATAGCATCAAGGTGAGTTACATCAGTCTGTAGTCTATATCCACCATGTTCGATTATGTCAGCAAGATGCTGCGTGCAGGATGGTATAGTATATTATGGGTTGGTGTGCATGACGTGAGGCGCAAGTACAATTCGCGGTAGCCTACATGAGCTAAAATGTATTGCGAGGCAAAGAGGCAGCTTTGTTGCTCTGGTCCTATAGTAAACAGAGCAGAGAGAAAAAAATTTCCCTGATTTTGTTTCTTATTTCACGCAACTTTAAAATGAAACCTGAGAAAAATTAAGGACTTCAATAGGATTTGAGCTTTTGATTCGGCATTTCCGTTTCTTTACCTAACCAAGTGGTCTGAATCCTACGGCACAAGTTTTCAAAAATACAATTGACCTGCCTCAGCGCTCAACGTCCTAGTTGGTTAAACCATCGATTCTCGAGGTCATGGATTTAATTCTTGTTGGAGTTCGAAATTTTCTCAGCAGACAGAAACATCACTTTAAGAAGCATTTGATCATTTCATCGAATTTCTACAGTCCATATGAATTAATTGATATCCATGATTACAGGTATGTAAATTGGAGATGCAGCTACAGAACGCAAGAAAGGAAAGAGAAAACCTTAAGACTCAGCTTAGTGAATCACGCGACGAACTTCGCGAAGGCAAAGAACTGAACTCTTTGCTACAGAAGGAAGTTCTCAAGATACAGCACCAAGCAGATAGCCATAAAGAAGAACTTGTGAGCAAACAAACACAAGTGGAAAAGCTTGAAAATGCCAATAGAGACCTTGTGTCAAAAATTGCTGATCTGAATAGGCAGATTTCCCAACGGAGAATGGCCTTTGAATCGCGTGCAGAGAAAGGTACAGATGTTGAAACCGAGCTAAGTTGGTTTCAGTCAAAATTTAATGAGTTACTTGCAGTTTTGGAATCTTTGAAAGCGGAAGATTATGGCCATCAAAGAGACTATTTTGCTTTGGTTGCTCCCGTTAAGCTTACCACAAAAGAGACTGATGAGGAGACGCTAGACAGAATCACGGAGCTGGAATTGGAAAATTCAAAATTGCGTGGCACCATTGCTGAACTATTATCAGAAATGTCTGCGCAAGAAGGAGAAGGATTGAACATGGAACCCATCTATGCTCAAGATGATATAGAACAGCTCACACAGAGGCTAGAAGAATCTTCGATACAAATTAGTCAATTAGAAAGCAGTTTCGAAGCAGCAATTCGCGAGGGAGATGATTTACGAGAAGAACTTTCATCATCTGAACGAAGAATGTCTCAGGCAAAAGATCTACTACAGAATGTTGAGGATGCCAATTATGAACTCGAAGAGAAGATGGCAAACATGCAAAGAAAAATTATCAATTACCAGCGAGATGCTGAGAGCGCATTGAGGCTGAACACAGACCTTAAAGCTGAGCTTGAAGAGGAAAGGTCAAAAGCCAAAAGGTTAAACACAGAGGTTACAAAGCTGAAACATCGTTTCGATGAACTTGAAAGAAATACGGACTTAAAACAGGGAGAGATCCGTGATAAAGATGAAATCATTAAGAATTTGACGGCATCATTGGCAGCGAACAAGTTGAGGACTGATTCTCTTCTGGGTGAGTTGAACAAGATTCAAGCCCAAATAGAAATCTCAGTGGAGGAAAAAATAGAAATGCAAGACGAACTTTTCGAAGCACAGAAGAGAATTCAAGATGCGGATACGCATACTCGACTGATTACCGAAGAGAACGGAGACCTAAGCCGTGAGGTACGGCGGTTTTATCAGAGATTATCTGAGCTTAAAGCTTCGTACAAAACTTGCGAGCACGAAAAGTTCGATTTTCAGCAACAGGCCATGGCTTTGCAGGAGAGGGTTAGTAAACTGGAGGCTGAGGTAGACAAAACTATTAAGTTACCCTTCAACTTCAGCTTCATCTGGGGACCACCAACTCTGGAATATGTTGCGACTTACGATGCAGCGAATCAAGAGATTGATTTACAAAAAAAGTGAATGAGAAAAGTTATAAGTTTTTGAAAAACGCTCTTCTGTTAAGTTGACGGAAAAAGTGAAATACTTGGCGGACTTTCAAGTGGGAGTTGTCAAGGTAGACGAGCCGACGTTAACGTAATCCATCCAAAGTTCTCGTCAGCGGTTATCTCCTTTATAAACTGAGTGCTTTACTTAAAATGCGTGATGGACGAAGTGTGCAAATACACAGAAAAGAGTGCGGCATTATTGACACGTGTTCAAGAAAAATAGAAAGCAAGCTCTTAACGTTAATGTGAAGAACTGAAGAAAGGGAAGGAGTTGTACAAATTTTTATCTTAAAAGCGAGAAAAATATTTCACAACCTCTAAGTATAACTCAATATGGTGTGAAACCAGATGGTTACCCATGGAAATGAATTTAAGGAGATGTGCATACGTTGTCAAGGTTACTGAAACGAAACACAAATAATTAAGGACGACCACGTTGTCAGCTAAAACTTAGTGTAGAAAGAGAGCATCATTAAATGACTGTGTGGAGAAACTTCTTGCAACTGTATCGATATTGTAAGGAGAAATTCCTTTTTGTTCATTCAAAGAAGTGAAATGGGTAACATCATAAATAAACACTACAACTTTGGAGACCAATCATTATAAATTGCCGTTGGGGGGGGGGGGGGCGGAATTTAGAGGGTTTCTGGGGGTCTCATGGTTTTCAGGGGGACCGGAGAGGGGGAATCAGTTGTCTCCGACAGAGTATAATGGACAGAAGGGAGGACCATACAAAACTGACCCGACTCCTCCCCCCCGCAGGCGATTTATAAACATCGGACCCTGAGGTCCACGGTAAACTGTAATTTACAACCCCTGTAGGCAAGGTTGAAGTTATTTTTGTTTCTCTGTTGTGTGTTTCTTCACAAAAATGTTTTAGTCTTCTCCTTCTTCCTCTTCAAGGCTGTTACACTTGTACGCCGTCAGTCTGTTTCGTTTTAAATAGGCATCCAGTACAATCATTGGATTTTGTGGTTGAACAAAGTGATACACATCCCCACTGGCTGTAAATAAATCAAGAAGGCGAAATCGTGATTTCCTCGATTTAAGCTTTAAGTAGAGTTCTTTAATAGCGCCGTTTATTTCCACTTCAGCCATGTGAACAGTTTCTACTGCACTACCAGGGTTTTTCAGCAGTGACCGCAGCAGTGCGCATGCTCCCTCTGAAGTGACCAGATTGTAACCAATTTTGACGACTTGTAGAGTATCATTAAGTTCCAGACCCCTTGCAATTTTCTCCATTCCGCGGTCGGTGATGCGATTGTTATTGAGATTTAACTCAATAATTTTGCCATTGTATTCCAAAGATTCCGCGATGTATCTTGCGCCTTCATGGCCAATCTCGTTCCAACACAAATCCAGTTTCTCTAACGTTCGATTTTTCTTCAAGCCCACGCAGATTTGTTTGACTCCGAGGTCGCCTAAGCGATTCCATCCCAAGTTCAACTCGCGAAGGGACACGTTTTTCGCGATCATTTCCCCAAAGTGCTCTCCTCCGGTGACTCCAAAAGAATTATGACTAAGGTCTAACGCAGATAAAAAGTCTTCAGTTTGTAAAACGTTACTAAAAAAATGAATATCATCATCACTTAGTCCATTGCGCGAAATGTCAATTCTCGCCAAAGAATCATTCACAGTCAGCATGTTTCCAAGAGCGTCTGTTCCATCTTTACTTATCTTATTCTCTGAAAGATTCAGATAAGTTATAAGACTGTTTGCCTCGAGTAATTTTGCAACAGCTGTAGCTCCTTTATTCTGAACGTTATTGAGTGACAAGTCTAGTCGCGTGACACTCCTATTGCGTGACAAGGCGTCCGCGACAGCAACAGCACCCGTGGGACCCAGCCCAAGATTTCTCATGATCAGCTCCGTTTCGCCGGCCGCGACTTTGTCGAGAAAGTAAGTCATTGCTAAAGGAGGAATTCCAAGTTGTTCGCAACTTTTAAGGAATGATTCCTTGAGAGATAAATCGTGTATTTGACAAGCGTCTTGTACATCTTGGTGTCTGTCCTTCCTGTCGAGGCGATGGATCTTCTTGGCAGTCTTCAATGTGGCGTTTTCCGCTATCACCGAGTCGACTTTCGCGTCTTCATCGTAGGAATCCAAAATTCGGTTAAGGTGGATCAGCAAATTAGTCTCTGACACTGCCCGGCTCTGTGGAAAAACATAAACCTCTTCAGCCCATCGTTTTGACTTCTTTCCAATTTTTATGCGCGGAAAAATGCTAAAAAACGGACGTTTATTCTTCGCTCTTGACGACCGCATGTCTACCATTTCCGAATTTCGGTCACGGAAAAATTTCCCTACGAGTACAGTCTTATGAGTATCCAACATCGAACCATAATATCCTGTCGAAGGAATTCTTTAGAATTCACTCTGGCGCTTTTAAAACGCTCTCGTTTTGGCAAAGTCTAGCATTACTGTCTAAATTGTATCTCGAGTATTGTGACGGAAACGTGAGCCAAACAAAGCCTCTCCATACCGTTTCACAATCGCGTCGAAATTCGAGAAGCAGGAATGTGAGAGAAGGGCAAAAGGCCGAGAAGTTCAAACGTGCGCTTGTCATGAGCCGGATTAAAGGGAGATAAAGGAAAAATTAGTCAAATAGAAACTACTGACAGACGCTTACCGAAACAGCAGATGTTTTTCTTTTTCTTTTTCTTTTTCTTTTTCTTGCATGAATAGTATTATATCTTCATGTTTAAATAAACTGGTTTTTCGAGCAAACATCTGCTAATGAACTGTGGTTTCTTATTGGAGAAACAGATGAATGTAAATTTTTACTCTGTTGTGTTATTTCTAAAAGTTATTTCGAAGTAGTATCAGTTTTTTTGAAAGCAATACGCCGCCGCTAAGTGCCCCAGCAACGACCCTAGAAAAATATTGTTAAGCAGAAAATTGGTCCAATGCTACAAAGAAATTAATTTAGATGTACCCTAAATAAACACAGATATGTAATTAAAGTATAACTCGTAGTACTGTGGGCAGATTAAGAGCTGCAATTTCATCCTTTCAGGAAATACGTGAAAGAACACATGTTCACAAATTAAAGATTCCACATAATTTTACGGGCGCACTGTCGACCATGCCATGTTTTCGGTGAAAACTATTTTTTCGCGAAAGGAAAGCTAAAACTTAAAATCGCCAACCCTAAGTTTAATTCGGCTTGAGGTAAAGGGAACGTTTCAAAATTGGACCCTCACGCGAAACTTTCTCGGACACAAACATTCACATTTTCAAATACGTAATTTGACAAATCGTGAAGCTAAACAAATGTCATCAGCGTAAGACAAAGAAACAAAGTCTCAGTGACGTGAATAGGGCTCAAATTCAGCTAGTTCTCATTTCTCAGACGGCTGTTCCGCTAACTTAGTGGCAGAGTGAGACAAACAATATTCGTCAGCGAGTGAAGCCGTTATAAGGTTCATGTTACATACTGCAAAGATCAGCAATACCAAAAGCTTCCTTTGCAGAGCGAGACGATTACTTCTCTGTTAAGTTATAGGTTAAAAAGATTTTTCGTTTCAAGTTCAAGCATTTACGCAACCTTTGTTATCTTACCCTTGCTGAGCTAGTTCTGAAATTCCGTGGTGTAAAAATTTCAGTGATGATGCCGGACATGGCATAATGAAGGCCAAGCGTCTCGCGCTGAAATTCCTCTGGCCTTTTAACCTCAAGCTTTTGTCACCGTCAAGAGATTGTTGATGACCGTAATCAATACCTACTTGTTTTCGCTAAAAAATTAAAAAAAAGGACGCAACAACTTCGGCCTAGATGTCAGCACTTCAGAAAGAAAAAAAACGTGACCAAGGTAGTCTGTTGGTCAGATGTGGAACAAGGTTTTAAGGTATAATCTTGTACTGTGTTTTAATACTCTTCCCAAATTTTCAAAATTGTCGTGAAATGACTAGTAGCTGTCGAATTTCTATCGTGGAGGCACATTTGGATGCTTCCAGCAAATCGACTCTGTTCACGTTCCTTCGACTTGTGGTAACAATAACAAACCACAAGTACGTTCCTACTGTTGCGATAAGGATTGTGTGCCATTTTGGTTTAGATCTGTTTCAGTAGCTCCATGATAGTTTTTCCATCTTGTAAAATTGAAATTAGCTTAAAATTCTCATATTCATCATTTTGGATCCGCTTTAAGTTCACCAATTTTTATTGTCTTCGGTCACGAGCGTTTAACTGTATTGTATTTCTTTAGAGTCTCTTGACCATGGTTAACCAGTTTTTCAAAGGTCTTATTCTAATTCAATTAGCTGAGTTAATTCAGTTAGCTAAAATGATTCAAATTAACGCCTCGTTTTCCGTCATAATCACAAGGGTAGAAGACTAGTATCCAGTGCCTATTTCTGCTCATCAAAAGGGGAGAGCAAAATGAAACAGAGGCTGGGAACAATTTTTGACTACTAACATGCGCTAGTATTATGGCAAGTCGGCCTTTTAGGAATATAACTGCCGTCGGAAAAAGATAAAAATAATAATACTGATATTGAGTAAATAAGAAAAAAAAGAGGTTGTTCTTGCCGTCGGATGAGAGTACATCATCACCGAGATAAATATGACAAACATTTTCACCAAAGGGATGAGGCGGAGAAAAACTTTATGAAGTAGAATTTAAATGGAAATTTTGCATGGCCGAGTTAAAATAATTCGATTACCTGAAAGATGTCCTGCTTACCTTTTTGTGATTTTTCCGTCGTGAAGTCTAAAAGGGGAACACCAAATCCTGTTAAACTTCTAGTCTTCAACCTACTCTTTGTAAAAAACTCGTTGTGTTAGCTAGTGAGCCAAAAATTTTCGAAATTTTCTTCCTTTAATTTTATTCAAATCTTGTGGAAAATTACTCAGCTGTTAAATGTTGGCGCATTCTCTGGTGAAAAGAAGCTTGGATAATATATTGTCAGTTTGCAATTTTAATTATAAACTCTGATCTTGAAAAATAAGTGAAAATTCATACGCATAATATATTTAGTTTCAAAACAATGCCATGTTATCCTAAGTACCAAAATCAAACTAACGAAATCTAAATTAAGTAGGAACAGAAAACAGCCATAAAAGTTCGTTTTCTTTTTTAAACAGATGTTACGCAAGAACACCTAGTTAAATGAAAATTCGCATTATTCAAAAACTGCCGGAAAATAATCTTAAATAGATGTACGCCAGAAAAATTGCAATAAAGGTTTCCTCGTTACCTTCATCAGCTTTATCCACAGCTTTTTTGTTTCCGCCATGTTGTTGGTTACTGAAATATCATCCTTAAATCTATCAAGCTTCTTGATATCGTTGCAATGAAGAGATTGAGTTGATTTCCAATAAAGTAACATCGATTTACAATGTAACGTTGAATTATTTTCACTGTTTTTAATCAAAACCTGATGAGCTATCCTTTTTTCGGGTAAACATGTTAAGTCTCCGCGGAAAGACTAAATAAAAAACTCTTCGTTTGCCGTCAATTGTCAAATGACACCTTCAAATCAAAGGAAAGTATAAAAGGAACACTTTGCAGCGGCTTGCTTTTGACACGAATATTGTTTTCTTAAAGCCAGAGCAAACAATCCGAGCTTAGAGTGCTGATCGCTGTCCAATTACCGATGAGTGTTGAACAAATATTGTAACCTGGCATGTAAAAGCCTGCAAAAATTTTAGGCTTAACAAAAGAAAAATATTTCTTTGAGAATATTTTAAAATTCTAAAGTAAATCTGAATGAAAATTGTCAAGGAAATTGTCGCATTTGTGCAAACAGAATACGACAAAAACTGTCAAAGTTTTGTCGGAAAATCTCCATCTGGAATTGCCTAAGAGCGAAAAATATCACTTTGCATGACAGTTTTATTGTATCTTTATGGAAACAGACCAGAAAAAAAAACGATTGTAGTTTATTTTAGTGAATAACCTCAATTTGAGTGGCTGTAGAAGAGAAAGGATGTATTTTTGCAATTGGAATCATTCCAGATGAGTAAATGGCAGAGAGAAATCAGTTCGAACTTGTATATAAGTTGTAATACAGTTAATTTCCAGGGCCCAGTTGTAGAAAGTTTGGATAACGCTATCCAACGGATAAATCGCTGTCCGGCGGATAAGTGATTGCAAAACGTATAGCGTTGTCCACCGTACAACGACTTATCCAGTGGACAGCGTTATTCAACCTTCGAACAACCGGGGCCAGCGGTACAAACCCCTACCAGGAAGAAAGATCAAAACAGGTTTGAATAATAAAGAATGAACTTACATTGAGAGAGTACAAGAGGAAAACAGAGTCCATTTCGCGTTAGTAAGAAACCAAGAGGTTATTATAATTTGTCGTCAGTCGAATTCAGAATCGGAAGTCAACTGAATCTCTTTCATCATGAATTAATAAGGAAAAGCTACATGTCACCTATATTTTTTAACGCGATATTTCATATAGATACAGGTAGTTATCAGTGAAAATCAATTGATGTACTATTGTTGATGTGCAGTATTAACATCTCGAACTCACAAGGTTTATCTCAAAGCCCTAAGCTTTTTATAGCCAGGTTTTCATTCGGCTACAGAAAGGCGGCTTGGAAATATTGCCTCCTTTTCTACCAATCAAATCTCATCGAAGTTTCGTAAATCATTCATGATTGGCAGGTGCCTGGCGTACGGGCCGGAAAATCCTGTATATCACAACATTGCTTATTAACTCTAGCGCTGTCAAAATTTTCAGTGTTTGACGCTTTTTCCATTTCTGAGAGACCTTGATTAAATTTCCAAGCTTTAAAAGTTGTTGCAATTTGATACTGAGACTTAAAAAATCAATTAAATCATAATTTTTTTTTCAGGTTGGAGTAAACAGACTTTTCGATACTACATACACAGGCCTTATTTCGTTTTAGAGAGGTCCAATGTTTTTGTTCACGATTATCTCCACAGTCACGGTGAAATATTTTTTATTTTAAGGTCCTAAGACATATTATTAACGCTTCTGATCTTTCATACAGTGATATCCTAGACTGCAGCATAATGTTAAGTAGACATATTTCGCAATGAACCCGAACAGAGGAAAACTCGGTACGAATTACTCAATGAAGACTAAATGACACTAGACGTACATTTCTTTTATTGTTCGTGAATATTTGATCAACTGATTATGTTTAAAGAAGGTTTTTCTGACTTAGTTCTGCATTGCTTCGCAGCCAATATCTGTTCCTTGAAACGTTAACAAATCTAAAATCATTAATTTTTTTTACATGAGATGCAAGTTTACACTGATCACTGATAAACACATTATAAAACAAATCTTATTATTTGGGAAATTTTGCGTTAAAGTTGCCATGTACAAGCTGCCCTCCTTTAGCGATTTTAGCCTTCAATGCGATCCAACACAGGATTTTCTTCTTCGAGACATGCTTTGTAAAACGTACATTTTTGGAAAATTGTAGGACATAATTTGTTTCCAAGGACACCATACAATAACATTGATGTTTTCGTGGCCTGACTGATACGGAATTGGTTTAATTTAAACAAATAATCATAGGCTATTTCTTTGAATCAATTAAAAAATGTAATACTCACTTTTTCCTGCTCCTTCATTTTCCCAGTGAATAAGAATGGAGTCTACACCAAGGTAAAACTGATCGCCACTATTGTAAACACAGGCAGCTGACAGCGAGTCTTAATCGATCTCTGTAAGCGGTGTTATTTGCATAGCATTTATAGGAAATAAATTATTTATTCTAAGAAAGGTGATAAAAACTATTTAACAGAAGAGAGAATTTATAACGGATCGCCTTAAACTTTTTATCCTAAAACTATTTTCTCCAACCTTTGCTCGTTACTCCCCCGAAACAAGAGGAAAAATAAAAGTTCATTAAAAAAGTATTTGTGTTCTCATGAATAAAGGGATTGATAGTTATCTGGGAGGGGGGGGAAGTTCGAGCGATTTGAAGAGGAGGGGAGTTGGAATGATTTTGGTTGTGACACTAAAACATTTACCTCATAAGGCTCTGTAATATTTTTTGTGACCCCCACCCCCCCCCCTCCTTATTGGCAGTCAATTTTCCATAGCTCCCCTTTATACTCTGTTGATGACGACTGGTCCTCCCTCCTTCCCCCAGAAAATCATGTGATGCCCCCCAAAATCGTCCGATTCAAATTAAGTGAGCAATGGCTGGGCATTCTTGTGTTTTCTTCTACAACGCGTAAAAAAATTGTTACTTAAAAAAAAATCTGAAATAACTTTTTTAAACATTGCACAAAATACTGAGGCAGTACAAATGTATGGCATGCACTTTCCTGAGGCGAGATTCAAATTGTCGCTAAAAACGAATAACTATGCAAACTGGAAAAGAGGAGTGGTGGTTTTGTGCACTTTGGTTTTCATATTTTTTCAAATCATTTTCCGTTAGCTCTGTATTCGCTTCTTTTTCCCGAAAGGTAGTATGCAAAGCCTGAGGGAACAGTCACAGTTTATCATCTGGGGGAGGGGGGGGGATGAAGGATCACATGGTATACAGGGGAGCGGAGGGAGGATCTGCTGTCAGTAACAGAGTATAAAAGGGGAACTAAAGAATTGACTGCCAACGAGGGACCAGCCCTAGGAGGAGATTCAGGTAAATTTTATTGTGACAAAAATCCTCCAACCCTCTCCACTCCATCCCAGGTGACAAATAATGACCGGACCTAAAAGGCTGCGACTAGGATTTGTTCGCGAGAGTGTGGAAACTGAAGGTGTGATCTGTGATGACACTTGTGCGATAACAATTGCTACATCTCTTTTCAGGAAGAAACCATATTAAAGTGCACGAAGTCCTAGCTTCAACTTTTATGCTAACTATAAAACCCTATAGCGCTACCTTCCCAAATATAACGAAGTTCCAATCTCCTTCGCCCCTATTTGCTATGACAGGAGCCCATTAGTAATGGGCCCCT